TACTTTCACATTTATTGTATTAATAAGGATTCACATTAACAAATTGTTTAATATATTAATGGTTACTACCATTTACTATTCTCTAAATAATTATACATTTTGGCTTAGTGTTATACTCATATGAATTTTGTACTATGCAATATTAATCTTGGATCAGTGTTTTGTTTTTTATAAAAATAATGTGGCCATGATTGCGTATAAAGAATCTTAACTTGATGACTTAATGAACGAAAATAAACCTAAATCCTATTAACTTAAAACTGTTTTCTATTTATGGAAGCGTTATTTCTGTTGTTCTAAATTAGATGCGTGACGTCATATATAAGGTATTTTTTCCTATTAAATTCATCGATTTCATAATTTATATGCGTGTTCTTTAGAAAGAGCACGTATTTACTATCACGTGTCACCACTTGGGACGTGTGTCGTTGGTTCGCCATCTATGTACAAATTCACTTGAGCATTTATTTGTATAAAGGCATAGTAAAACATAGATGTACTTAGTCAATACCTAAGTACGTTATACTAAATCTATGGTACTGACACGTTGACAATTCAGTCATAAAAACGAAGGAAGAAATTAATTAATCTAGATTTGTAAATATGTGCATGTGACTGGTTTGAATTTATGTAAAATTGAAGTTGCTTAAACAGCAAAAATTCACGTATTTGTTGTAATTTTTATTTCAATTCGTGGACGTTCAGAACATTAAATTAGATATTCTTTTCTATAATTTTTTATACAAATTATTTCTGATGATTCCATTATATTATATTTAAGGAGATAAATGTTTACAGATTTACGATTTATTTACGGTTTAATAATGTTTATGATTATATTGAATGCCTTTACTAACTACATAACAAGATATTTTGCAATGTTGTTTACAATTACGCGGTTGTCTACGTCACTAAAATTAACTATTACGACCTTAGGGCGAATACCGAATAGCGCGTTGAAACGCAATTTCAAAATAATAGTAATCGGCAACTAGTTTGTAGCCGTCGTCCATACACGGCGGAATTTGGTGTGACGAAATTCTCACACAAATTAAAATATAATATCAACATCAACTGTCGTATGTTTCTTTACCATTATATACATGGGGATATTATTCAACTTTATTGCAAGCCAGTGCAACGCAATCGATGACAGACATGTCCTACTTTCGATATGTAGGTAAAGGTACTTATAGAATGTTTTAATACAACATAATTAAAATGTAAACGAACAAATACTTGTCTCTACCAAAAGACAGTTTGCGATGTCCAACAGTGATTCAAATAAATAATCGATTAATTAATTGAATGTTTTGATTTTTGTTATTAATTATTTATTTGGAGAGTATTTCTATGATGTTTTCAACAAAGTTTGGATACCTTAACATTAAGTTCTGTTGAAACTATGAAACCAAGATTTAGTATAACCACATTCCGGACACTTCATACAAAAACAATACGATCAGTGATCGTCACAACTACAGAAAGAAGTAACATCATTACAAGTGACAATGTGTACATATCTAGTTAGGGTTAGTGCGAGGAAAAGCTTCCGATTCGATGTATTGTATAATGTGGATTGGGTTGTGACTTTGAAAGAAGTGCGCAGCCTTTATTTTAAGATAATTCATCAAATATTTGGAGAATAATAAAGATGTACTTTAATTCACATTTTATTAATTATATCGTATCAATTTTTCATATATTTAATCACAATATAGCTATAGCTAATACAGGTTTAAATATAAATATGTTCGTTAATTTACTGCGACAGTCAAATAACTAAATTTCGTGATATAATAAATCATTGCCAGTATTTCACTGTCGTTATTTATCTACTACTGTGAATATATAAAAAAGAGTTTTGTATTACTGGGTCCGCATGCCGAACACCTTCATAATGTTAGCAAAACAGTCCACTGCTGAATGTAGGCCTCTCCCTTTGGGGTATTGCCAGTAGTTGCCACGTTTGATAGGCAGATTGGCAACCGCAGTCAGGCTTTAGAGATATTTCAAGATGGACGCTGCTGTCCATCTCTCACCTTTCCTTAGTTGGCTCTTACGACACCTACGGTATAAGAACGAGTGGTCTATTCTATACCGGGGACAACACGGCCAAGAACACGGCAAAACACCTTAGTTCTCAGTAATAGCAACGTATGAGTGATATTTACGGATGTCACATTTTCATTTGATACCATACCTAGTTATTATTTTTAATCAGGTGGGTTAAGTTTTTTTACTATTTTGTTAATTATCTAGATGATTATTTCCAAAAAAAAAAAAAAATACAAGGTTAGTGCGAGGCAACAATAGTCGACTTCGAATTTTAAATTTTAAATAATTCTGGATTTCTGACGATAATACGACTAGCTCAGATTAGCTAGTTATCTTCTTCATAATTCGTAAATATTGTACCCATTATCCTTTGATATGGGCAACATCTAATGTCTAGACTTGAGACATCCATTAGACTGTGGGGAGCTGACGTGTGTAAGAAATCTTTAGTTTGAGATGGGGTGAGGTCAGATCTCAGCGCCAGGGAATGTCCATACTGTACTTTAGTATATATACTTATGCTGTGGTATAACGTACTTAGGTATATGCTAACAGAAAATGCAATCACAAAAAAATGAGACGGAGAAATTATTACACTTGTGTGCGTGAAATGCAAGTGTAAGCATCGAACAATGCTGCGCTATGCACATTCTATCGTTTCATGACCCTGATCGGTAATCCAAATTAAAAGTTTTCAAACAATTTTATTTAATAATTGGTAATCTTCAAAGTTAGCAATAATTTATTTATATAATTTCAGTAAATGTGTAATAAATAATGCGGAGTATATACATATTATATAATAATTCTTTATTGCACTTATAAATTACATAGATAAGATAATCATGTTATAAAATAATTAAATTTTTAAAACCAAATATTTTTATGGTCTTTATACAATATATGATATTCGTGTATCTTACTTTTTGACATTGCTAATCTATATACTACATGATCTAACTTTAAAACAGACTATACCGTCATAGTCGTAGAATACTGACGGATCTGACGAATATTACATATAAAGATCCGTCAGTATTCTACGATTATGACGATATGATCTCTTATTATACAAGTATTGCTGAATAATCATAATAGCCCATTAATTTCTTACTGGCATAGGACTCTATTCAATAAGAATATTTTACGGTTTAATATCGAGTATTATTATATTTGAGTATTATATTTCTTTCCTTAGTTTTCCGCTAACCATGGAATGCAAAGGAATATATTGTTTACTCCAGTGATTCTCAACCACTGTGCCGCGGCACTTTTGTGTGCCGCCAAATTTTAAAAGTGTGCCGCCAAATTTTGCAAATATTTAAAATTTTTGTCATAAACTATTTATGCAGTGTGTTGTAGTAAGTAAATAATTTTTATCTTTTTCTTTGTGTGCCGCCAAATTTTGAAATCGTTAAATATGTGCCGCAACAAAAAAAAGGTTGAGAATTACTGGTTTACTCCATCAGCACACGGAGTTTATAACGAATGAAGAGCATGAAATTTAGAAGAACTTTTTATAGAGCCATAGTTTTGTCATTTTTGAGTTGCGTCGTATTCTTAGTTTTAGTCACTCACTTGTAGCTACGTCTAGGCGGAGGCTATGGTAGTTGGATACTTTCACCGGATGTTGGTTGTAACTAGACATGACCACCTTTTAAGAGGTTCGTGTATTAGAGCGGTATATTTTTAACTTGGTCCTTTATCTATAACTTTGTCATGTCTATTTGCTCATCTGTTTTGGTCACTTATTTGTCTGTCCCTCTATCAAAGTATTGTAACATGCAATTTAAGCAGCGTGTTGTATAATTTGCCAAATTTAGTTATGGTTTGTAATCTAAACGGCAAGTTAGTTTTAGTTTCGTTCTTAAATTTTCGTTTAAATAGTGTATTGATTTTTTTTTAATTTTTTTCTTATAACGTAAACATTTCATAAATTCTTTTATACTCTAAGTCCGATTGTCTAAGGTTGCAGAACTTATGATTAAGTGATGTACGGATACATGGCCGCCAAAAAATATATATAATACTGTGATTTGGCTGCGGTACTCTAAAAATACGAGTTATCGTCGGAAGTACGAGTAGTAGGCAATTAAGTTTAATTATAATAGTAATTTTATTGTTAAAAGTTTCGTAAGCGCACATTAAATTAAAATATAATAATAGTGGTTAAATTTAGTAATTCACTATTTGATACGCAAGGCACGTTTTATTTATTACCATGAAGCAAAAAAAAGTTTACCATAAAAACCAACGTGTATAATATGATATTAAAAAAATGTGTTTTCAACACTAACATAAAACATTAATTAAATTAAGAACAACGGAAGCGAAGTTCTTCATCGGTGGGTATTGATCTATTATAAAAAAAAAAAAAAACTGTTATGCAATTTCCATCATCAATTTGTCTCTGTATTCGTGGATCTACTCTGGCTCTTCATGTGGAGCCAGTGATTGTATGTACTCGTGTTTTGGCTTTCAGATTTTATTTGTAATTGTTTTTTTATACAACTTTATAAAGCAAATGACATGACTTGTTTGATGGAAAATGGTGACTGTTACTATAGATATAGACATGATATAGTACACTGTTCCACCCATAGTTTCCCTCGTGGGTTGTTATTCCTGAGGGTTAAGGTATAGAGCCTTCGTTACTTCGTCGTATTTTACCATTCAAACTGAACAGCTACACAAGCGTAGCTGCCTAAAGACAGAAATTTGTGGGGCAGAGGTCTTTTTTAATAGATGAAAATGGATTGATGACCGAGGGGGTTACACCACCGGGTCCACACCAACTGGTGACAGAACCAGTGAGAAATAATAGGTGAAGATGAAGATGTTTAACCCATCGGAATTAATCATGTTAATTTTGGGGCAGGATACATGTAGACAATTTTTGTATAAAGTTTATATTTGCTGAATTGCTTTTCTTTTTTTTCCAGGTGCTTCATGCAGCAATAGGATTAGTACCGTCTGGTGTTTTTGTGGTTGTTATGCAAGTTTATTCCCGAGTTTTTCTTGTTTGTGGCATTTTATTAGTTACATATGGTGCAACGATCAGTCCTGGCTTAGCACTGTGTGTTTTGGCTTGGTCCGTTACTGAAATAATTAGATATGGATATTATACATTGAATCTAGTCAACTTTGTGCCACGATCACTATTATTTTTAAGGTAAGTTGTATGTAGGTGCAGTATATACAGTGAAATCGAGTAGTAATGTCTTAAAAGTGAAAGAATTATTGAAATTGGTTAAGAATTAGAAACAAAAAAAGTTAAATATATAATCATTTTTAGTTTAGATAAAGGGAAAAGTATTAAATACATTAGTTAATACATTTATTGTTGTAGAATTTTTTTTTGGGTATTTCAATTTTAATGCTCTATCTAGATCGCAAAATATTGCTTCACTAAATAAAATAATAATGAAGTTGGAGACTTAAACCTTTGTTTCGTAAAGTAATAAATATATAATAAATAAATAATAAAACGCTTTGTTTCGTAATGTTAATAAATAGTCTTGTTTTTTGTTGATGTTCTTGTTATTTTTTGCGCTGCCGTTGTATAGTTTAGTTTTGTAGTGTTTGGGTGGTACACGACAGTGAAGTTTAAGAATTGTGGCAAGATCAAATGGCAACATTTTTTGTTATTCTTTTAGCTTGTGATATATAAGTTAATTTTCTATCTAGGATCTTACTATAGACGTTATATTAATTTAATTATTTTGTCATCTATATTTTTCAGGTACAGCACGTTCATACTTCTCTACCCCCTAGGAATCACCGGGGAACTCTTGTGTATGTATCACGCGCTGGACGAGATAGCAGAAAAAAATATATTTACAATGACGATACCTAATGAATGGAATATACTTTTTAATTATTACTACTTTGTAATATTCTATATGATTTTGTATATTCCATTGTTCCCTGTACTATTTGGCCACATGATGTCTCAAAGGAAAAAGATGCTAAACAAATGTAAAACTGTGTAAATATGATGAACAGTTTACTGTTTCAACGTTCAAACTCGAATATAATCGAAAATATCAAATTAATTAAGTGTACGTAGATATAATGTGGCAGACGTGTGCAATAATAATATGTAAACCTTTTTGTACTTTGTCGCATTAGCAATATGTTAGTATAATTGATTAAGCTTTTGAATATGTTAATAATATCACTGTGATATTGTACTAAAATTATTACATATTGTTGCACATGACCGTACAGTAATTTAACAAGATTTTTGTAAACGGAGAACAATGTGTGTATTTTAAATAAAGGTACATTGGTATCCATAAATATATTATAAAAATAGAGAAAACAAGTTTGTTACTTTTCATTCTCTATTATTAAATAGAATTAAATTGAGTAGAAGAGAAAATCTAATTTTAAACTTTACTCGTAAGCTATGATTGGGCGGCATAAATCTATTTACTTTTTTAAAAAGCTTGTGATTCAGTTTTTTTTTAACAGTAAAATAGATACAATGATAATGTGTTGTTAAAGAATCATCTAGTGATTCAAAATTACTCATTTATGTCTATGACCCTACTTCATGTATCTAATATATGAATGAGAGTGTAACATGGCGCTGACTGTCAATTATTGAGTTATGCATGCCCATTTAGTGATACTGCGGCACACACATGATGCCAATTTTGTTAATTCATTTTTTACTCATAGTTAGCTTTTACGTACATGCTAGAAGATACAATTAAAACATTGTAAACAATCTAGGAATAGATGACATTTTTCTAAATTTCGTTGTCATCTTTTAGGGTATTTTGTTTTGCAAACATGACAATCTGAATTCTCCAAATACAAAACGATCAATAAACATAACTTGAGACGTCGAGAAGAAAGAGTTACTCAAGATGGTAATATTATATTTTGCATTGTCAGATACGATTTTTGATTGAATACGATTTCCTTTTAAATACGATTTTTACTTTTACCCAATTATATTTAAACTTATGCCCGTTTTCACCACATTTTGCCATGTGACCACTACGTGAGCGACGAATAAAAATGTCTTTCTTTATGACGTCCTGTTAGTATATACATATATTAGTATATTTTTACAAATACAAAAATTGTAAACAAGTTACTCAAATTTCTTCACGCCTTTTTTCTAATATATCTAAAAATATATAACAAAAATTTCTACTCAAAAGGGTGAATAAAAATCCTAATCTGGCAATGTCTACTAAATGACAGAAACTACGTGACTTCAGAAGTTGGAGTATGCAAGATACTTTGAACAATGCCAATATCTAATAGATTGTTAATATTAAATTTGTCAAAAATGTTTCTCTTTCTCCTCGGTTTCAATTACATTCCATTATAAGTCAAAGAGTATTTTCAATTAGTTTACTAATGTTACAATTTGGTATTTTTTTTTTAATTATAACAGTACGAAATTGTATAATGTTGACGTCTTGAATATCTAAATACTTAGTTATACGCAGATATACAAGCATTAACCAAACTATTTTACCATTTTTTAAGCCAAGCACATGAAAATAATTTATTATTTTTAAAGGGTCTGGCTATTGTTTATTATTTACTAGTTTTGATATATGATCTTATTCAGACTTCTTTTTTTCTTTTAATTTATTAAACGCTTCCCGTATGATGGGTACCAGCAGTACCAAAATGAAGTCATCATTAATTTAAAAAAAATAAATACTCTTTATATCAGTAAAAGCTTTAAAAGCTAATGCAATTTTCAAATTAGATACATATTTTTATATTTATTGTCAATGTTTGGTGGATGGGATATTTGATATTGGTTGGGTATTGTTTTTGTTACTGTTTTAAATTATTTATTGAAAGTCGGTTATGGTAATAACATACTTTAATAAATTATTTTTCTTAATTTAATTTTATTTTATTTGTAGCGTTTGTAAAAAGGTAATTTATTCGGCGCACTAACGCTGATACAATAGGTGACAGTACTGCCTTTTTTAGACACCTCTCATCATTAGGCGGCATCCTTTATAATAGTTCTCTAAAATCATTACGTATTTAACAAATTAAACTCCTCCATTGCATTTTCACATAACAACACCTAATACAAATTAGGAATTTGTCACAATTAAAATCATTATTACTTAATACTACTTGTTATACTTACTAGATTTTTCTTTTCAACTCTCTTAGCCTATTGTTTCTACTTAGCACTATTTAAATACTACTCAGCACTTCTGTGACGGCGTTCCCCTTAAAAAGATTACGAATCTGCGATTCAAAGAAATTTTATACAATCCGTTGTTAATTCCATGATGCCTCACCGATCGAATCCCTGCCACCCTCCTCCCAAGGCTGGTACTGATATTGTATTGTAGAGTGCTTAATTTATACAAAGTTACTTCCGGAAGATTAATATGGATATTTGCCTACAAGTTACAATTACATAACAAGTGTTCAAAGGGGGGGGGGGGGGTAAAGAGGTTTCTTCAGGGTCGGTAACGTACGCGTGATGCCTCTGGTATTGCAGGTGTTCATAGGTTACGGTAACCACTTACCATCAGGTGGGCCGTATGCTTGTTTGCCACCTCAGTGGTATAAAAAAAAAACCGACTTCTTTTGTGTAATGCTAGTATGTAATATATACTTAACGAGTAGGTACTTAATTGTTAACGAGTATTACACTCGTCATGGGAGGGACTTTGATACCTGCCTGGTTGATCAGATAACACTCGAAGTGTTATCTGTTCCGATTACTATTTAGTTTGTTATACGCTTCAGTTTTATTATATAAAAAATGTTTTGAATACTTGAGGTATTTTTGTCTCCATTCCTTATATTGGTTTGTCTTCATATGAGATATTCCTTTAACCTAGAGGCTAATAATAGCAACAAGTGTAATTCTTTGTTTCGGAGTTACTGCAGTTTTTAGTGTTACAGGCGAAGGTACCATTATATTATCATCCTTTAAAAAAAACTACTGGCACTTTCAAACATCAAACGTTATGTAGGACTGGTTTATGTTTTTACAATGTCACCAAAGAATGATAGGCCCAATTAAGTGGGCAATCTTTGCTGGGATTGCAGTAGAGTATGAAAGCAAGTCTGTGGTTCTGGCAATATGGTAAAGAGGTGAGAAGTTAAATACTATTAGGATTTATTTAGCAAATTTTTATAATGGGTGATAATGGAATGGTAACCCCACCCGTGCTATCAGTATTCGCTGGTGGGGCACTAGAAAGTGATGATAGGTGAGGTTTAAAGTGGGTTCGTTGCTTCTATAGACTTAGTATAACATACTAGGTTGGTTCACTCTGACGAGTTCAATAAGCAATAACCACGATGATTTCCAGGGAGAACTGCATGGTGGTGTAGAAGTGCATAGGCTATATTGCTAGCAATGGGCTTGTTTTAGCCCAGTACCTATTAACAATTCCTTTTCCTAATTTTATTTAGCCGGTAGGAGTGCTGCGATATCTAATTGCCTCTCCCGCGAGACAATAAGGATTTTTAGAGGGAAGATTTTTGTTTGTAATGTATAAACTCAAAAAATAAATAATCAAAAAAAAAATCACCTACAGAAGCTACATTATTAGCGAGTAACATGGGTTGGAATTAATGAAAAGAAATCATGCGAACCCGGTTTGGGTCGCTTGTGTAATATATCGAATTACTGCGTACCTATACGCAGTAATTAGATTGTTGACAGATAATATATAGTACTTACTTGCTTATGTAGTACATAATGATTCATAAGAAGTATCAATCAAATTATCATTATCTGTTAAAATTAAAAACCTAATATATTTAAATATCTAGTAGCTAAACTTTGTTTTACTTATTGTTTCATTTATAAAAAATAACTTTTACGTAACACATTGGATGGATCGATGTTTTTAAAACTACAGAAAGGATTTGAATGAAATTGCTACACAGATGAGTTGTGTCCTATGATATTTTTATATATATGATATTTTATGTACTAGTGATTTATATTTTTATGTACTAGGGATATAGTTAGTGATTTTATAAATATGCTAATGAGTTTTTAAAGTTCTTTTTTTTATCTTATTATAACTATAAAACCTACTAGCCCAAGTCAGTAATGAAAAAATTCATTCATAGCTTTTTGCCCACTATTGCGTATGTGTGAATTTTAAAATAAAGAAAAACAATGAAACGGATCACTTCTAGAGGGCGTATAAAGATAAAACATACTAGATTTTAAGTTAGACCTGAAGATCTAATTTAAAATCTAATTTGTTGCAGTAGTTTTTGCGTAGTGCCCGAACAAACATACACATAGAGAGACAGACAAAATTTCTGAAAAAATATTGTTTTGGTTTCTACTGATCCTATTAAGGCTCCTCACATTCACTTTTCTTAAATATTTTCCATATAGAGTTACCGTGCAGTTACGTTGCAGTTTTGTTACATATATCAGTAAGATCATTGATCCTACACTGAAGTAGCAGTTCATACTCCAATATTTTTTAAATTTATAATAGTCAGTATAACTATCAATGTTAATTACAAAGAAATTGAAAGAATCTGCATCTATTTAAGCGTTACACATTATTTATTAGAAACCACTCTCTTTGCCAATAAATTATGCTTAAAAATATTTATTGTCCATCATTATCAGTCCTCGACTTTGATTTCGTATATTTGAAGTACTTTGAATATTATCAGAAAATAATTGCAATTACGTAAATCGGGGATAATGCTTTATAACACAAGTTTTTTTCTATACTGGCACGAAACATTGACTTCATAGCCACCTAATGGTAAGTGATTATGAAATTTGTATGGGCTGCATGTTCAACGCAAGCCTGAATCCAATCTGCAGCCCCTACTATTTCGGGTAATATAAACACTTTAAGGCCTGCCTTCAAGGAATCCAGGTTATATTTGGCAGGATTTCAAAAAGGAATTCCATGATTTGATCATGCCAGTACGTGTTGCCAGTGATGATCTACGGAATCAAAACAGTCCTACACAGTTTTTCATATGTAAGAGCTTTAAGTTACTTAGCGAGTTATGGAGAGGGCAATCAATGCTCGGAATTTCTTTGCGTTATAGAATCCGAAATATAGTGTCAGTTAGCTGGTCACATAGCTCGAAGAACCGACAACTGATGGGGAAAAAAGCTTTTCAAATGGCGACCCCGTACAGGAAAACGGAGTGTAGGTTGACTACTAGATGGAGTTACGACCCTAAATGCAATGCAGGGAGTTAATGGATACAGACCGTTCCTCATAGTAGTCTATGGGGAAGGCCTATGTTCAGCAGTGAACAGACCACGGTTGATATGATGAAGATGATGATGATAGTGTGATAAAAGTAGGAGCTGTCAAACTTTTTGCCATAGTATGAATCTTATCAACATTATGTATGGATGCATTTTCTGAGCAGCACAACTAGTTTTTTAATTAGTCAGATAAAATAGGGACGGAGGGATTATTTGTAATAATTTACCAGAACATTTTCCATTAAACGAGCGATAAAAACGCTAAGGGAGGCAACATTACGACACAGATGTTATGGTTCGAGATTTTTAAAGAGCTTCGAATTTCCTATAACTCGATCAGCAAATGTTTGAATTGAATCAAGGGAGCTCCTTAGATATTGGGTGAAATCATACTAAAGGTGGGAACAGTATGCAATGTAAGACATGATTTGGGTTTTAATATTTAACATTGTATTTGTGTGAAAAACTGACGCATTTGATTCAGAATTCCTAGATTCTTAGAAATAATTTTTGTGACGTTTTCAATGTGATGATTTAAATCAGATAGGATTACAGAAGTCCTAATCTGTTGTATAAGTTTAGTGAAAAGACCTGAAGAGACAGAGACGGGGTGAAAAAGGACTTTTTAGTGGAAACTGCGACCTGTCATGAGCCTGTGTTGTGTTGGCATTAAAGTTAACGAGATTATTATGGCCCCAGATATGTATCTAAATAGTACCTAAAGTATATTATAATATCTAATATCATTCTTAAGGCTATGTCAATGTTTGGGTAAATTGTATAAATATCTTTTATATTGTGTAAGTAGGTGCATAGATATTTTTTGACACAATTAATTTTGATACTTTTTTTTAGTAAAAAAATAATGTTTTTCCGCCCCTTTGTAATATCGCGCCCTAGTCACTATTTTCTACTCAGAAATAATCCGCCTCTGATCATACTGTACTTATACATGAGCTATTAATGAATGAACATTTTGAATGCACGAATAAATTAGTATCTAATATTACCATAGTTAATTTTCAATTTCAATTACAGATTATCCTAGTTCATTTTAGTAAAATAATCTGAAGATATTTGGAAATTGTAGACAATTTATACGAAGCCGTTTGCACCTATTTATTTATTACCTTGGGGATTTCTTTACCATATTAGAGGAATTCCCTTATAACTCATAATTTTTTTTATACAACTTAGAATGGCAAACAAGCTGACGGTCCACCTGATGGAAAGTGGTAACCGTCACCTATAGACATGAGCAATACCATGGACATAACAGAGTATACTGTTTCGCCCATGATACCCTCCATGCATTGCCATTCCTGAGGACTCAAGTGTTACTCCTCTGTACCCTGTAAATTCACGACATATCCCACCCTTCAAACCGAAACACAACCATGCAAACACAACTGCTTTATGGTTGAAATGTTTTTATTTTACCACAAATTGTCATCTAACACCTACGTCGTATTGAGAACCATCATTATATAGTCATCTATTATATACTATTTTGTTAGTCGAGAAACATTTTTCTATATTTTTTTAAAATGTCTTTCCTTTGAATATAAGATTGATCTGTAAGCGTTTATATAATTATTAAAAAAGATTCAAGCTTTAATAATTCTACAACCTAATATTATAATTGTGAAAGTTTGTAAAGATGTTTTGATATTTCTTTCTCAATTACCTCAAATATTTAAAAGGATTTGAATGAAATTTGATTTACAGGTAAGTTATTTATGCTAACTTCATGTATAAAATACATTTATAATGACGTAAGCACGGTTGCGGGAAATATAAATAATCGGAAATCGAAGTGAATTGAGAAAGAGAAGAATTGAGAGTGAGAGCGTTTTTTCAACCGATTAAAAAAAGATAATTTTTTTGTTTGTTACCTCACAAGTTTGTCAGTTGTAAATCGATTTGGAAAATTATTTTTTATTAGAAAGGATATACACAGGATTACAGACTGGTCGAAATCGTTTCAGTAGTTTAGTTTTTAGATCAAAATTATTAGCTGTTTCATGATCGAATTAGGTTGTTGTTTGTGGGACACAATCTTTAATTATTAATAAATTTTTTTTTACTTGTATACTCCCAATATCTATCATACAACTCTATAGACAGTACCTAAAGTTTTGTGACTCGACTGAATATGCACCATCTGCATTCTTTATTTGTCGTGAAGTAGAAATGTGTGCGTTAATGTGATTTTGACTGAGGGAAACTGACACAATGCATTTAGAAACGGCTACGTAGAACGTGTGCTTAGAGGGATATAGTATTCGATTTTTTGTTATTCGGTAGATATCTATAACATTAGATAATCTGTTTACTTGTATATTTATGAGCTTTAAACATTATCTTTGCTGCTTTGTCCTATCGACTTAAACATAACCATAATGATGAAACAATCAAATGAAAGCAAGTTAATGTAAACAAATTAATTATGATTACAATCATTAGGTACCTACGATGAGATCGACACTGATTTACAAAAACATTTTTGATAAGGACGTCCGTATCAGTTCTATCTGTAGATGAAGGTATTATATATAATTAAAAACTTGTTAGCTGACAGTGTTATTGAGTTCGAGCTCAAGTTAAAATGGGTAAATATATTGCTGTTGTGATCGCCTTCCTGGTGGCTGCGGCCCAGGCCGAAGACCTCAAGAGCGGATCAGTTCCTGCTCTATTAGGCCAAGAGTAAGTACCTATAAAAGATATTTAGCAAAATGAAGTAATGAAATGCAATACTTAGAGCTTTTCTTCTTCATTCTCTGAATACATTTCAGAGAATGAAGAAAAAACTCTATTGTGTTAGTATTTTGTAATTTCAGTTCTTTATTGTTATGCGTTATTGAGTTATTTCTTTCGCGTAGATGGTCAGATTTGTCTTGAGTGTTAAATTTGATAATTAGGTATGTGAAATGATAAATATAAAACATAAAAATGAGAAGCCTATGAAAATTAAATTTTACAAAAAAGTAAGTCAAGCAAATGAACAAAGACACAGAATCTACATTTCTAAGGCCTACGTAAACTACTAACTAATTGTTAGCATACATTTTTCTTGATTAAAATCATCTAATTAATGTTAATAAGAATTAAAGGTTTTTAAAAGTGACACAATACTAAGAACGTATGATTAAATTAGTAGTCAGTGAAATTTATTATAAACAGGTATTAAAGTTTTGCGCAAAAGGGTGTCATAAAAAAAGGTCAATATAATTATTTTTGTACCCCTCATGCATTGGCAGCCCTGAGGAATATGTAGTTTTACTTGTAATGTCTGCGCTTCGCTTCAAATAGAAACATGTGTATATTTAATGCATTCATATACATTGTAGGACAGAAACATGTCTGGAATACAGGCACCTACATGACAACTCATGTATAGTTTGTCTATCTTTTAAATTTAGTAACTTTATAATATTATAATTACAGAGAGACACGCAATTTGGGATTGAACGCTCAAATAAACGATTATGTTGACAACACAATCCAGTTGATTGTGCCTTTTATCCAAGAAAATGGCCTCGACCCTATGGATCTTCCAGACGTTGTTGAAGGATTCGAAGTGGTCAGTATCAATATTGATATCTTGTACGGTTTAATTTTGGGTTAAACAAATAACCAAATACCTACACAGGTATATCCAACTTGCATCGTAATATTCAAGTATTGAGTACCTAAGAATCATCGCAACATACGATTTATTAAAAATTTTGCATTTCTGTTAGTACAGTGTCCTATCTATGTAAACTGCATGTATGTGTGTTTGTTTTATTCAAATCTTGATTTTAACGTCGAAACTTTTTTGTTAGTAATATTAATATTTATGATGTTTACGAATGAAATTGGATTGCATTTAAATATTTTATATTAAGATGTTAAACTTATAAATAAATATCATTTATCTACGTATTTTTTTTATTAAATGCTAAAAAGTTTTATGGATAGTTTAGACATTTTTAAACTATTATCTATACTAATGTTATAACAAGAAAAGATTTGATAGTTTGTTAATGATAAGTAAATAATATTGTTTTTATTTTACCCATTATCAGTAAATAATGATAATGGATAAACTGAAATACTACTTAATCGATTTTATATTATTATAAAAAAATTGAAATTCTTACGAAAATTATTAATGTATTAAAAATTTATCTATTAAAATTAATATAAAATTCTAATAATATTTTTCTATCTATCTACCTGTGCGAGACTGGAGCGTACCGCGGGTCTATTAATAAAATAATTATGTTATTAGTTTTAGAAATAATGTATTCTTTTTATTTTACTGTTGTAGAGGCCAGTTTTGATCACGTACAGTGCTTGGCTGAAGATACACGATGGTTACATGACTGGTTTGACAAACGTGGCTCGTTCTGGTGATCAGACAATCAACTATTTCGCCAAGATGGTGCGTGTACGAGTACAACTGCAGTTCAGGAACTTACAGGTAGGTCTTAGCAATGTTTAAATGTTATGATTTTTCTTATATAATGTTATATACTATATATATTAAGATTTAATAATTACGTCAATTGTTGTATTTCAGTTCGTGTACAAATACCTAGTGAAGGTGATGAACCTCGGGCCCACTGGTGGTATCATCGGTTCCCTGAACCGTTTCGTTGTCGTTGTGGACTTGCTTGTTGATTTCAATAACGACGAAATTCATCTGCAGCAGTTCTCACTCACCGACATTGGGTATGTGGCCTAAATTTCATTTACCATCTATTATTTTAGTATCGATGTAGTTTTAGTGTAAACAGTTTCTAGTGATTTTAAGTATTAAGTTGGTACGTAATGTAAGTATGCATGTAAAAAACCAGGGTAAAGTGTTTACTAAATATTCTGGAGAAAGTCTGAAACGTAATAATGATGATGATCAATGACTTTCAGTGACCATCATAATGCAATATTGTTTGATATTAGAGCGACTGAGTATAAATCTTAAAGAACAGCACCCCTCAAAATAAATTTAAATAATAACGTGATAACAAAGCGTAGAACAATGTCAGTAATATTGTTTATTTGTATGCATATTAGGTAATTACCTAATTGATTATAATTATTAAAATATTAATTATCCTTGTCAAGTAAGCCAGCAATCTTGTTTTTCATTTTAGTTATTTCATTAGTAAAGAATTTTATTAACACAATCATCTTGAAGAAGTGCCACATCACATCAGTGACTAAATTTTTAAAGCAATTTATTGTTTTACCAATGTTTATAGATGTTGTGATATAAATATAATTTTTCTACCCGTATACTTGTAATTGCACATATTACAAGTATAACATATTTTATGACATGTATATTTCAATAAAAATGAAGAGTTGCATTATATCTTTATGTGTTTCATGCTGCTAATTTGGTAATAATGATATTAATTTTGATTATTTTATTACAGACGTCTTCGCGTACGTTTGACCGGTAACATTTTGACCGATTGGCTGGTGAACCCTGTTATCCGTACATTCACAAGGATCTTTGATAACACCATCATTAAAGTTGTGGAAGTCAACATTCGTGACGCTGTCAATGCGGGACTTGCTGAAATCAACAGAAACATCAGGACCGTTATTCAGTTTATTGAATCATTCAATTAAAAAATGTATATTCAACGTTCAAGATTATTCCTGTAAAATAAATTTCTGAAGAATTAATTTAGTATTTATTTTTTTAAATGCCGTTACTTTATGGAGTTCGTTATCTACCATTGCCGTGGAAATTTTAGAATATGTTTCTTTAGAGGAGGTTTATTTTGTATAGTTTAATATCTGTATTAGGAATCATTCTGTTAAATTGATTTGTGACTTTACATTGACATCTCTTGAATTTTGAGATAGGTACGAATATCTAAGTCTATATATTAAAATAATGTGACTAGTGGTAAACTAAACAGATATTACGAAACAAGAGCTAAGTCAACTATAGGTATACAATTTGTTTTGATTTCATAGCAAAAAATATATTGCATTATTTAATTATTAAATGTTCCTCTATTTTCTTCTTTTAAATACCTTTTTATTACATTACTAGTTAATCTGAAGGACGTTATTTTCTTCATCCATTAGTATTAATTATATAATGTATATAGTCAAAGCCAAGCATACAGCAGAGGTTCGTAGAGTACATAATTCCTTCTGTTTGTTTTGTTAATTAATTCAAGTACTTATAATTATAGATATATTATCAATATTTCAAATTATTTTCTAGAAACCCCTTATTAATGTACTCTTAGACATGTTTTTGTGTATAGCTGAAAGCTTCGCTTACATCTTGAGGAGGGCATCAGTCAATTCTGGGGTGGGCACGGCTCATCAACCCACTCTCTTAAATATACATATGACTATTATGCTGTGATTCATAAAACACTTAGAGAAGGACAATAATATTTTTTTTTAAATATTACTGTCGTTACACGCTGGTGTACGTACCGTGAGGTTCCCGTGAGTGTCTATGCTTTCCAGAGGGGATCGCGTAGAGGTCGATCTAACGGGATAAGTATATTTTTTTAGCAATAGGTTTGCTAGACTTTATACCTATATTAATTACTTACAATAATAAAGATCATGGAAAAATATTTACTAAGTATACCGGTATATTGATAAGATTATTTGAAGGTTTAGATTTTTATTACTCAATTACGTTAAAGGATCAGAACGATTAAAATCATGTTACATAGATTGACCGTTATATTTAGTTCAACAGGATACTTTTTATCTCAAGTTATGCAAGATATGCCGTGGATAAGTAGTTTATTATCATAAAAAATATATATTTTTAATTTTAGTTCTCAGGAATGGCAATACATAAGAAGTACGTAATATGGACGTCACAGAGTATTCTATGATGTTTATAGTGTTATCATGCAACTATTACTATTTTTAAATATTTTTTATTTATGACGGGATACTTGCCAATTTATCAATTGTGAACTGATGTATTATAAAAATATGAAAATCATATCTTAAGGTTTGTAAAATTTATAAAGCGGACGAGACTTAAATCCGCACTGAGATACTACCATGCATTAGTATGGTACCGTAGAAGATAGCCAAAATAGAGTAGGTAGGTATATCTATTTAAATTTTAGGGCTATGACCTAAAGCTAATAATTTTTGGGTTCAATGTCGAATTATTATTTTTGTTTTTTTGTAATTTTTGTAAAATGCTGTTCAGCGACTTATATACAGTGATGTTCAGGGATTTATGGCGTAATGGTATTTAGCGTTTTATGTCGCTACGGTGTTTAGCTTTTTTGTAACTTTGAAATCCCCGGTCTCATTGCAGCTTGTTATGAGCGTCAGGGGTGTCCTTCTCTAGAAATCTTTAGGTAAGCTGGTAGAGAATGCCATATGGCATTAAACTCGCCATTTGTACAAAGTTTTATTGTGCAATAAAGAATAAATAAATCTGCTCGATTCTAGAATAAGGGTATACCCGGCTTCCCGAGTCGTTGCAGTGTCCCAGTCCTTTCCGCAACTGCAGTGCTCCCCCCTTTCCTTTTCACATAAGTCCCTTATTCCTCTTATTTACCAATTTCCTTTACGCATTTCCAACTTTTCCTTCTTTTTTTCCTCAATCCTTTCCTCCATACAGTAGGTGGCAGAAACCACCTACAAATGCATTCCCAAAGAGGGTTGACATCAGGCAGACGACCGCTCGTAAATATATAAGCCAAATCTTTTTGTAATATGGATAAGAAACATATAACGTCGCCCCAAATAAATTGGGATAAGGGCAGGAAGATAATACATACGAGTATATATATATATATATATATATATATATATATATATATATATATATATATATATATATATATATATATATTGAGCGGTAAATATTAATTTTTATCTAGAATAGCAAAATAGCTAGATTAGATTTATATTTATAACTATCATTTCTTCAGTTTATATATACATTCATTAGTAAAAAAGATCAAGATCAAATTAATGATATTACTGGCCCTTGAAAAAGTATTATGAATTTATTTGCAATAACAAATACGAATTTTAAGCTGTATTTACTGATTTATCAAACAATAGAATTAGTTTCTAAGAAGATTAGATAGCGAGCCCCCACTAATTAATATCTTCATTATCATTAAAATGACTTATTTTTTAGGTAAATGTACTTAAGCAGATAAGTTATTAAAGTAAATAAATCTTTTCATGATTGCAATCCCACATGATGATTGTAGACGTTGTGATGATTACTGTAATGCTTCAATTTCTTTTAACGCAGAGTTCTATCATTAAAACTGAATATTTTATTTTCTTTCAGTCAACCATAGGGAAGTGTCAGAATACTCGAATGCGGTACAAGTAATTACTGATATACATAGATACATACAATTTCAAATTATAAACGAACAAATATATATATATATATGAAAGTATATTTGTTATTTATATATATAAATAACAAATATACTTTCATATATATATATATATATATATATATATATATAAAAAATATACTATATTATACACAAAAATGAGAATAATAATATATACTTATTGCTGGTATAAAGTATAAAAGTGAAAGACGGTTTAGTTAATAGTCTCTTAATTGCGTCAGAAAGCGTATGTATTATATTTTTTTTATCCTTTTTAACCGACTTTAAAAGAAGGAGTATCTCAATTTGGGTGTATTTTTTATGTTTGTTACGTCATAACTTCGTCAGTTGTAAAACGATGTGGAATATTCTTTTTTATCTGGAAGGATATACTTACAAATTGGTCCTATAGAAATATAAGCATAATCGGTTCAGTAATTTAGTTTTAAAATCAAAATCATTATTTTTGCCACAGTTGGAATCGGTTTTTTGTGAAACACAATCTTAATTATTTATTTGATTTCACGTATATTTAAGAAATGGTTTCAAGTCATTCATAGTTTCCCTTTTTAGAAAAGTCATTTGCATAAGTATCACTATTCTACTCATATTTCTGCCACTAAAGTGCTTGCGTGTTTGTGATTCATTGTTAAAGGTACAACATCATACTCCTCAGGACTGGATACGTATGAGGAATAAATATTATTTCGTTTGCTAATCCAAGTTGTATAATAATGAAAAGGCAAACCAAATTCTATAAAGTTTTTTCGACAAGAAGTATTTTATAAAATAATGATAACAAAACGTCTTTTAAAATTTACTTTATATTTTTTCGAGGATAACCTCTATGGCATTCAAACTGCTGATTTTAAACAAAAACAGTTGACGAAATACAAATTATACAATTTAAATAAATAAATTCTTCATTCTATTTTATTAACAGCTATACTTACATTAATTAATTAATCATTTATACATTTCTTAAGTTAGGTTGGAATAAAATAGAAATCTGTTTGTAGTTTATTTGTAAAAATACAAAATAATGTCGGCATTACATATTTATCTTATCTAATAATTTAATGATATATATATAAATGTAATAGTCCTACGTTCATTATTCAATGGAAGGCTCTTAGATTATGACTGAAATCTTTAGAGATAATACGTTGTTGTTGTTAAGTTGATTGTGATATTGATCAGCTCATCCATTATTTATTAAAATTATAATTTCAGCCATGTGTTCTTTTTATAATGTACCTACAATAAATATCTGATAAAAGGATAATTATCAACACAGGTGTAGCTAGGAAGTAGGTATTTTTTTAAACATTCGTTTTATATTTTAGATGGTAATTTTATTAATTACAAATTCTTACAGAAATATTATTAAAATAACAAAATTATATTCCAATAAGCTATTTCAACTGGTAAGAAAGAGCAACGCCCTGGCGTAGCGTATAAGTAGATTCAAATCTCTTCTGATATGATTTTTTTTCAATTGCACAAAATATTGAAATACTATTTACAAATTAGATATATTGGAATACGATTTTGTAACGTAACAACATTTTTATACTTGCTTCTAATTTGAAGACCTAACAGAGAAAACAATGCCTTAAAATTAAACTTAACTATGGTGGACTATTCTATGACGCCGCCATTGCTAAGGTATGTGTTTTTCGCGATTTGGTAGAGTTGCGTCGACATTTTCTCGTTGGTCTCCTTGACCATTTTGGTGAAGTAGCCGTCGGGCTTGTTGAGCAAGTTGTACGGGTGGTCGAACTCCACCAGTTGGCCGGAGTCCATCACCATAACGCGGTCCGAGTCCATGATGGTGTTCAGTCGGTGCGCCACCGTCAGCACGGTGCAGTCCGCGAAACGTTTCCTTATTGTTCTTTGGATAAATTCATCGGTTCTGAAAACAGTACATTATTATAGATATACATGTACATATCCAATTTAATTATAATTTCAGGTTGCTGTTACGGCTTCCGCGCTTTTGTAGCGCCTTAGCGATGTTGGCCGAAGCTCGCACAGATGGTTTTGACGCAGTCTGGCATAAAAATACAACTTTGTTCTTAGATAGAATACGCGGGAGTGGCAACAGTATCCTGAACATGTTTGTAAATAAATTAGATAGTCCTCTTATGAGAATGCTTGCCGAAAGGACTAGATCATCATTAGGTGATTAAGTATTAACATAGTTTTTAAGTACACTTACTAACAAAAATGGATCCCAGTTGCCTAAAATAACTAAATAAATGATATATTTTTTTTTTAATTTTTTTATACAACTTAGAATGGCAAACAAGCTGACGGCCCACCTGATGGAAAGTGGTAACCGTCGCCTATAGACATGAGCAGTAGCATAGACATAACAGAGTATACTGTTTCGCCCATGACACCCCTCATGCGTTGCCATTCCTGAGGACTCAGATGTAATTCCTCTGTACCCTGTAAATTCACGCTATATCCCACCCTTCAAATCGAAACACAGCCATGCAAACACAACTGCTTCACGGCAGAAGCACGAATGGGACAGAGGTACCCAAGCAATCGACTTTTGTACAAAGTCTCCCTCTGTAAATATACTATATGGTCCTGGCATAGAATAGGGCATCCCTTTCTTTCTCGTGGGTGTCGTAAGAGGCTATTAAGGGAGGGCGAGGGATGGGACGCAGTGTTCCTCTTACAATACCTCCAAAGTCTACCTGCGGTTGCTAATCCGCCTGCCGAGAGTGGCAACTATTGACAAAATTTCCAAAGGGGGTGGCTTATGTTCAGCAGCGGAAAGTTAAAGGCTAGTATAACGATGATGATGATGTTAGCTATACAGCAAAGATATCGCGCATATTAAAAAGAAGAAATTATTTTTGTTGTAAGAATACTTATTTTTTTTTAAATTGATGCGATTCTGAACGCTTTGATTGTGTAACGAATATTTAAATATCTGTAAAAATTTCCATATTTTTGTAATACTGGTAGACTGTTGCGGCATCGTCTGCGTGACCTAGTATATAAAATATCCTGTGTTAATCTAAAACGTGGTGTATCTGTCTACTTAATCCCAATCTAAAGGGAGTGTTAGCTGGACAAATACCTAAAAGGGCAAAATGAGTTCACTGCGAGTCAACATAATAGATGGTAAACAATTAATTTTGCCCAGAGCAGCAAAAATAGCTTGATTGGACGCTGTATCTACCCAATAAAATTTCAATCAAATGAGCGTAATTATATAAAAACATACAAGTCAAGTATCGAAACTTTCACATTTATAATATTGCTAAATATATTAAGTATATCGTTAAGCCCCATAAAAAGGGTTTTTAAAATCAGTTAATCACCTCATATTTAAATTTACTGTATTTTTATTTTTTACAATTTGTTTTTAATTTACACTTTATTGCTCCATTTATATTTACACTTTATTGCATAATTTATAGGATTTGAGATTTTTTTAACTCAAACCTTTCCATTTTACAATATTAAATAAGATATTTTTAGGACTACCTAGTAGGAATCTATTCTAGGGAGGAATCAAAATCCTTTATCAACCTTCGCACTAAATCCCGTTATAGTAATAATAATAGAGGATTTATAGAATGACTGGCTTTTTGCCTGCTACTTTATACTATTTAGATTTCGGAAATAGGACTTTATATAATATAATATTAATTATTTCTAAGTGTCTCCTATGTACAGACATTGTCTAGTTACAATTTTATAACATTAGTACGATAAGAATTAATATGTAGTGACATTAAAATGACCAATATCCTAATATAGCGGTTTTACACACTGTCTCATCTTCCGATGGTCGCGGGTTCGATTCCCAGACAATATAATAATTTTTATTTATGAGTGGGTATATTTATTTATATTCGACTGGGTGTTTTCTATGTACATGGATATGTATGTTTTTACAAAAACATTACAGGTAAAATACTTTGAGTACAAACTTTGTTTAATTTGAGATAAGATGGTGCTGCGTGATGTGCCCAACTATATTTATAATATTTATTTATATGCTTTTGTACATTTACTTATAGTATTGATATTAGATTATAACAAAAATATATACAGGCAAACTTATCCCATAAAGGGATTTCTTCCAGTCAACCTTGAGAACCTGAAAGGAGAAATTGTCTATAGGGAACATATAAAGCATATGGTGCAAAAATAATATGATAAATAATAATATATTATTTTTTATACTGACTTAGGATCAACGTTGGCAGTGGCCTCGTCCAATACGAGGATACGGTTGCCGCGTAGTATGGCCCTCGCCAGGCACACCAGCTGCCGCTGTCCCAGCGAGAAGTTGGATCCGCCCTCCGATACTTTGAAGTCTAACGTTGGCACTGCTGCTTTCAAATCAACCTGGAATAATACATTAGAGTCTTGTATGATAATAATTGTATGATAATCCACTCTGGTCTATGGATTTAGACTGACGGAGTATTAGTGAGGGATAATAGGTCAATTTTGTGACATATTCATCATGTGAATAACCAAGAGGTTCATCGGACAGTATATTACTAGCAATGGGGCGGTTGTTCCCCGTTATTAACAATTCTCAATACATTACAGTTTATACAACCTGGTATAACTGTTGGTTTATAAAGTTTAATTTCAATAAATTTTTAAAAATATAATGTTCATGAGCGGTAATTATTGTATTTTTAAGTGTCTTTTTTTGGATGGTGGCAACTTCTGTATTTTTTTACAAGTGTGTGCTCTCTCCTGTCTGTGGCTTTAGCAAAAGATTCATGTAAAATACTGTTCTGTGAAAAATAAAGATTTCAAAATATTGTCCGCTGTTGTTTATAAAAATACCACATCAAGCTTCAATAGAAATTTACGAGTATATCAATAACAAACAAGCCTGCAGCAGAAATAAGTATCTAACGGCCCTCCTAATGGAAAGTGAAAAGAAGGGGATCAGTATTATACCCTACCGAATCAACTTCTACATGGTGAGGGGAAGAATTGTTAGTAAACAGCTCCATTGCTAGCAATAGCTTCTTACAGTCTTTGTTCTTAATAGTTAAGCGACCGGCTTAGTATTCTGGTGCACAAAAACTTAAATAAAATGCATCATATTATTATTTCTTATATAAAGAAAATCCTTTAAAATATTTTTTTCTCTTATTACATACATCTTTTAGTAAAAGGTTGAATATTAATTTCAAAAACAAACTAAGTAGATACTTACAGCTTCAAGTGCTTGCCACAGCTGTTGGTCATCGTAGTTGTTGAAGGGGTCCAAGTTGTACCGGACTGTGGCGGAAAAAAGCACTGGCTCTTGTGGGATTATTGATATCTTCGACCGTAGCCCCTGACAATACATTAATGCAATTAGGTACGGATGTATAATACTTATAGAGATTATGTGGACAAAGGAAGCTTATAAATGTTTTTATATTTTAATAATAACCTGAACATATTACACAGTGTCTTCAATTCACAAAATGAAAAACACTTGTATTACGGATACTGTATTGCCTAGAATAATTAATAGATATACGTTAAATATAATATACTTATTTGTTTCGTAAATAATAACAAATAAATATTCAACACTAAGTACAATTTAGTCCTAAACTAAGTAGAGATACAGATATTCAAATATATTTCTTATAAATACATAAATATATTTTTTTATAAATATCAAGTTAGTGCAAAATAATAAATTACTTAATGTCATTTGGGATAAGGTCAACTTTAATGTAGTTATCTACAATTGTATTATACAATGTAAACCTTACCTATTGGTAAGGTTTACATTTATTGTAGGTAATTTTATTGTAGGTAAGTATTCTTTTGATATTTCAAAAGAATACTTACCTACAATAAAATACCCAATAATTGTCCTAATGCTATTCTTTATTGTCTCCAAATAAATGCATATAAGTGTACTTATATTTCATACCAAAGGGAGACTTTGTACAAAAGTCGATTGCTTGGGTACCTCTGTCCCATTCGTGTTTTTACCGTGAAGCAGTTGTGTTTGCATAGCTGTGTTTTGGTTTGAAGGGTGGGAGATGGCATGAATTTACAGGGTACAGAGGAATAACACCTGAGTCCTCAGGAATGGCAACGCATGGGGGGTATCACGGGCGAAACAGTATGTGTGTGTACTGTTATGTCCATGGTAGTGCTCATGTCTATAGGCGACGGTTACCACTTTCCATAAGGTGGGGCGTCAGCTTGTTTGCCATTCTAAGTCGTATAAAAAAAATATAAGTGAAGGCAAAGTTATAGTGGTAACTCATGTCTACATACTAAAAGTTACTTTAAATGGTATAACAATTTCAAGAGAACGCTGTACTTTGTAGAAGTGATCTTGTGTTAAGGTAAACAGGTTTTAGAATAGATCTTACGTAAGCGTTCATATAGAAATCTGTCGATGTCTGCATTATCGGACAATTTTCATTTTCTGAATTATTACAATGAAAAAAGTGTTTTTTGTAGCGTTTAAGGAATAACTTTTGTTCATAATTTTATTACTAAAAATTATGCAACTTCTTATTTGTATTTTATTTTGGAATTTTATATATCTTTCTTCTACTAATAAAATCTAAAATTTTAGTGAAAGTTTATTTAGAATATTAGTGTAGATATGTTTAATGTTTTATGCATTACTAGCGACCCGCCTCGGTATCTTAGGTGGATAGATAGAAACATAAATTGATTAGCATTAATAAGCAAATTTTAGATACCTTGATTTACATTTTTGTAATTTTCATAGGAATCTCTAATTTTTTGGAAATAAATATATTTCTATTGGCGAAATGATTTTTCAAAGCGATTAGCGATAAACATACAAAAAACAAAATTTTCTACTTTACAATATTAGTATAGAGTATATGTAGTTGTTTTTTTTTTTAAAAGAAATATTAAATTTTACTGATGAAATAACTTCACTTAAAGAATATTAATGTTTTCTATTGCAACCAGTAGTTTGCACTTTTGAAATTATTCATAGCGAGATGGCGCTACGAACTCTGTATATTAAATACACAGGTACAGATTCATTATATCGGGATCGAGTGAATTTATTTATTACTATATCAAATAAATATAATAATCAAATTTATTACTTTGTGATTGTTCCGAGTTCGACTCTCGCATATTAAAAACATTTGTATCCATGAATAGGTATGTCTGTTTGTATTGGTTTCAGTGGTTTCTATATGTGATACAATAAGTATTTACAATTATTTTCGTAACTTAATTTGAGAGCAAATGGGATAGTATAATATGTCTTGTAATTATTATTTAATGAATGAAAACTCTGTATTATTTCCTTCAAACAATGATACAGATCACAAAGATTAACAATACGTACAAAAAAAAACTTTATTACAAAAAAAAAGCAAGATAAAGAGACAACAATGGACGGCCTCATCGTTCAATAGCGATCTCTTCCAGGCGAACTTAGGATGGAGAGTAATAATTAAAGTTTCATTTTAATTCACGGCGTAACAGTATTATTATTATATTATATATTTTATTAATCATCTTTTTCATAGGTATTCACTGTTATATATGTCAGAGTACTATTGGGTTTAAGAGGACGTTGTATGGTTTTGAGATAGAATAAGTTTGGATCATAACTGTAATCAGTAATGTAATGTACATTTATAAAAAAGTTATAACGTTTACTTCTAACTTACTGTTAAATAAAGTTTACAATGTAAGGTTGGCAAACTGCGTATTGATACATTTTTGTATTGTTTTCTTTTTAATGGTTCATTTCTGTTTGCAAACTGTTATTGTAACTTATAACAAATAAATAAATAAATATAATAAAAGTGTATTGTGTGTGTACGTACCTGTAGTGACAGTGTTCCAGTCTCGACGTCATCAATAAGTACTTCTCCCTCGACGATGGCGAGGCGGAACAGCGACGAGATGAGAGAAGATTTGCCGGCACCCGTCCTACCTACTATACCGACCTGCAAACAGACGCATAAACACTTACTATAACTACTTATAAAAATGGTACATTCTTTGTTGTGGAATTTACTAGAATACATCATTGAGCTGGTATTGTTTAGGAATATTATATGTATAGTGAATTAACAAGCGTTGAGTATTTCTTTTATTATTTTTTTCTGAACATCCATAGACTATTTCCTTCTTTTATAACTAGTACGTATCTGTGAAAAGAGTATGAGTTCTAAGTTATTAAAGAGTATCTAATTTTCTTCTCCATACTGAGTTTTATATTTTTACGTTATAAAAACTTAATAATTACGTATACAGAATAAAATTACCACTTATAATTAAACGATATACGTATTAATTTCATCTGCAATTCTCTTTTCCAAATATTAAATATCAAGGTACCTAACTATAAATTTTGTATAGAAGTTGTACAGATGCGACATTGAAACTAAATTGATATATTTATATAAATAACTATTTACTGGAGTCTATGACTTACCTTCCAACCACTTTCAATAACTAAGTTAAGATTTTTAAGAACGGGCAATGCTTCAGGCGAATACTTCATGTAGCAGTTGCGGAACTCGAGGCGGCCCCGAGACGGCCAGCCTTTGGGTATTTCTTGTGCTAAAAACAATATAAATTATTATGATATAATAAAGTTTCATTAAGAGGTCATAACACAGATAGTGAGTTATAAAAATATAGTCATATATGAAATAACTATTATTTATGAACATATGTATAATACATATGTATATAACATAAGTATCTATGTTATTTAATGAATTAAATAATTATTAGTAACTATATAGCTAGTTAAATATTGAACTCTTTTTGTGGAGGGGACTAAAAATATTACGTCGTGATTATTATTCGAAGGGGAAGATTATAAATAATAAATTAAGATTATAACAAATTAATATTGAATATTAACATCCCTGGCGACTTGTAATAATTATTCGAATGTAAAGCAACTTCAGTGGATACTAACATCCCTGGTTCCAATGCGACTTGTAATAATTATTCGAAGATGAAGTAATATGATTGAATACTAACATTCTTAGTCTCACTATGGCTTTTAATAATAATTCGGAGGAGAAGTAATATGATTGGGTACTAACATCCCTGATCCCACTGCGGCTCCCGGTCGATGTGCGTGTACTGCAGGATGCGCTCGACGCTGGTCATCTGGGAGATCACCTCGGCCGTCTGCCGTGCGCCGAATTGCAGCATGCCCGTCAGAATGAGCGTCTGCGATATCGCGAGACCCACGTTGCCAGAAAATATTGTTTCTGTACACATGAATTTTTAACATTATTTTTAACTCATACATACATAGCAGTTTGATACTAGGTAAAACTATATATTCTCATAGAGGGAGAGTTAGATTTTCAGTAATGAGGTTAGTCTTCATTGCTAGCAATATACACTACCAGGTTGACTTTCACGCAGTTCCCTTTTGATCTATCAACCATCGTGTTTTACAAAATTTCATTAGTGAATAAATTACGAAATTTGAAAAAAAAATCTATACTTGTAGGTATGTATTTCGTTATTAAAATTAATAATTATAAATACAATTAATCGATTATTTAAATTAAAAAATAAACATGTTATGTGGTTGGTACATGAATATTTATATGGTTGGTTCATATATAAAATTTTCTATAGACGAGGTTTTAATTTGAATCATTATCATAGTGGTGATTTGCTCTGTGGTTATTATTACAGTAACAATATTGCCTACTTACACATGTACTAACTGTAATATAATGATCTTACTGCTATCGATGACCAGGAAGGCAACGATGACTATAGCGAGGTACAACACGCAGATGAAGTCGAGCCAGAAGCCGAGCGTGACGCCGCTCGCCAGGTAGCTGCTCCAGGTCGACGTGTGGATATCCTATAAAAAATAAAAACATTATTATCCATTACAAATTATTTTATTACTTAATTAAGGCTTACTGTTATAAAAAATAAAATATGATAATAAAAGAAGCAAAGGGTAATCAAGAAAGAGAAAGTCTGATGAAATAGATATAATATAGGACTCTTGTGATTAAGAACAGCACAAGATTGGAATAAGTGGAAAATGTAAGAGGAGTCTAATGCGTCAATGGATATACAGAACGACACATAATAGGAAAAAATGTTTATATATTTTACTTATTAATGTAAAAAGCTTCAAAAATCCTTGATGGAATAAATAGAATTATTTGTTTACTATTACCGTTATGGTATACGGTGACACTCGATATATCCATAATCGGTGTTGATATTGTAATTAGAATCAATACAAAGTGAGTTTTGCCGCTGTCACTGTGTTTTTCTTTATCGGGGATTTAAATGTAAATTTAAATTAACACATAAAGGTGTTTATGTTTGTCAGATTCGAACTTACGATCTTTGGGATCTATAAGTTAAAATAATACAAAGGCCACGATGCTTTCCTATATACCTATTTTACTGTTTTATTGATTGATTGTATTGAATGAACCTGGAATTTGTCGAAGTCATCAATGAGCCTCTGCTGCGCGCCTGACGAACGGATAGTGCTGATGCCGTTCAGCGTCGCCGACATGTGCGAGAATACTGGACTTCGTGCTGTAAACGTACAAAATATTACATCAGTAAAATTAATATTATTAGATTTTTCTAAATAAATAATTACTTATGACCGATCTAGAGGGGTGTTAGGTGTGCAAATGCCTACAGCGGCATAAGCAGCACTGCAACTGTGAGTTAACGTGGTCGTTATAAAGGTGTCAAATGTTTATGTCAAGAGTAGTAAAATACGGACAGCTTCATTGATTAGGCAAGTTGGAAGAACTTAAATTACTATTTATAAAGGCAATAAAATATAATTTTTAAAATCGTATATTTTCAATTTTAGAAAAAAAAATATTTTCGTCTGAATTATTGTCTAATGAGAGATTTATGTAAAAATTTTTTAGATGTGAATCGATTACAAAACTTTAGAAGACTTGAATAATCTATCGGAGCAATTGAAATTAGATGTCAAATTGAGATTGGTACTAGACGTGTAAATAAAATTTTAAAGGTTGTTTTTAAAGGTTGGTCAAAATTTTTTAAAAGTTAAGAACAGAAAAAAAAATTTACAGCCTCATTTAGAGAAGGCATTTGACCTAAATATCACGTATGAATTTTTCAGTTTTTTTGGGACATTAAAGTAAAATATGTAGAGCATCTGGAAACATAATATTATTATATAAAATATATTGTATAAATGACAAATGTATAATTCATACATGTAAGTATATATTTAATATTCACTTATACTAAAAAAAAATTAAACTCCCAACAAATAATGTATGCGAAGTAGCATAAATACGCAATACATTGTCGTTGTACCAAAATCAGCACACGATGTAAAAGCAATTAAGGTTAAATCGTGATAGTTTTAGGAAAACTTGGAGCGACCAAAAGAGGAAACTTGATAATCATGTCCCCGATAATTTAAAAATTACCTAATGTTACATTCTCCGTGTGGTGTGCTTGTGGAGTAAGAATATAATGTGTCGACATTCTTTTTCATTCCCAAGATATCGTAAAAAGAGAATTATACCAACTTCTTAGAAGAGACTTATATTCGTAGTTCTTAATAGGTTGTTATGGTATAGTTATACATATATACATACTCGTAATGCACATATAATCTAATATTATACGTAAAATATAAAACAAACTTATTGAGTTTCAATTGTTTCCACATTGTAAAGCGGTTTTTATTTATTTTTGTTGTGGGAAACCAAACTGCTGAAATTTACAAAACAGTAATAGCTTAGTCCGTAATATATAATGATAATGAATTATGCTTTTAAAACTATAAACAGAAAAAATTTTTTTAGTTATTTTTAATTTTTTTTTAGAAAAAAATGTTTTTTTACTCATCATATCAAAAACTTTTTTTTATAACACAGGGTGCAAACGAGCATGCGGTTCACTTGATGGTAAGCGACCACAGCCGCCTATGATAAATTTATTTTTTATTGGCACAAAATTATAAATATTTTTTTATATAGATAGCTGACAACATAAGTTTAATTACTAGCCATATTTATATTATGTGTATTGTCTCTAATATTTACATTATCTAACGTGTAGGGTTTTTTTTAATTCTGTATAGATAACATCTATAATATTTAAATAAGTAAATCTATTGAACGCTAGAGTTATTTACATACATACATACATATCTGTCACGCCTGTTTCCCATTAGGGTAGGCAGAAACAATGGAACGCCAAATGCTTCAATTCAAACAAACCTCGAGAGTTATTCATCCAAGATATGTGCTGCTATGTTTTAATTTATCTGTGGTAAGGATACAGTAGTTATTAGTTTTTTTTTTTAATTTCTTGTTTTAGTTATAAGTTACCTACAAATTTAAAATACCAAAATAAATTCTTACTTTTAATCGGTGTCATACAACATTTTCCTGCTTGCACAGGAAATGAATGCAACTTCAATAATAGTAATGACATTTTACTTATCAAATGATTACTTAATTAAATTCAACAGCTCAAGGTAGGTAATTGAATGTGAAGATGTAGGTTATATGATGGTAATTAACCTACTTATTTTTATGTGGCAATAACGTATAAAATTTATGTAGATTTTGTACGTATGGGGTACAATATATGTATTGTTTTTTTTAATACCGGATATGTTTGAGAATATTTTTTATGACATATTTTTATGGCGTGTTATGACAATTGCGAAATGGTCACACTGCTTTCATCTCTTGGATGTTATAAGGAATATATAAAGAAAAATGATAGTGATTTAGTGTTAGAAAAGAAACAAAATTGGACATTTAATTCTAGTACAAGTAGGATATAGAATAGAACCTAGAAGTAGGATATATCCTTTAGTCCACCAGGCGGACTAAAGGATATATCCTACTTTTAATATTATCCTCCTCTCTTTACAAGAGGAGTTTATTACAGTTGCCTTATAGGAAAACTAAAGGATTGTTAACAAATGATATAGTTTATTATAAACGTACTAAATATCAATACTGCGTATTTATCAATGCATAGAATTATTTAGAAATTTCAATAGACTATTTTTGATATCTGACTGGACTTTTAGAGCCCTATGGATAATTTAGAAAATATTATTAAGAGAGCTAAAAAGGTACAATATTGGTACTTACTCGTTCCTTCCAATCGTTTGATAGAATGCGCAGACTTCAAGTAAATTTGTAGGATAGTGTAGAAAAGTAGTAAGATGATCGTAGTTGGTAACAACGTCCAGACGAGAGCTGCTGCATTCAGCGCCAGTATGCTGAACATGACCAGGTATATCTGTATACACTCCAGAAGAAACCGCGGTAGGAGTTCGTCGAGCGCACCGATGTCCTTCGAGAATCTGTTCAGTATTCGCCCTGGTAATAGATATTATTTTATTAAATTATTAAAAATTGGCTGAATTATCAATCACAAAATACTAAATTTTAAAAATCTTAGACTTAAAAAAATATAACCAATCGGCCTGGTCATTTAGTATCGGCTATGGGTAGATACAATTTCGTTAGCGTATGCATGAGAAATAAAACCGTAGCTATCTCGTTCTATCTCATGCACACGGTAGCGATGATGTACTTATCGATATATATTTGGCAATTATTACAAAGGGGTTAGATTCTATTAAAATTTAATCTAACAGTTAAAACATTTTGACTTATGCGTATTTTTGTGGAGAGTGCTTAATCATTTTTAAATTTATCTAAGTCAATCTTGTTTGTACTGTCAAATATATTGTATATATAAATGTACAGAGTTTTATGAATAAAAGAGCTAGATTAGTTGTTGAAGTTTAAATGGTACCTGATGAATTAGAGTCGAAGAACCGCATCACGCCTCGGAGCATAGAGTGGAACATGTTGTTGTGAAGGTTCCGCGAGGCCGTCATGCACACCTTGAAGAACATGAACGCTCGCGCGGTGATGAAGAAGATACAGCAGATTATAAGGGCCGTGTACACGTATAAATACTGGGCCGTGTCCAATGGTCCGATGTATGCGTGAATGTCCAAGTCTGCAAATAAAAAAAAATAGGGCATTTCTATACAAATTTTAGGCTCTTTTTCGGCTGCTAAAATAAGAGTAATTATTTTCAGGTGTAGGTATCTTACCATATAACTAGGGGAAAAAGGAATTGTTAGTAATGGGGTGTAGAGACCTCATTGCCTGCAACATACCCCACATGAGATCGACCTCCATGCGGTTCCTCTGGAAACCATCCTGGTTAATTATTATTTAATTGGTCACGATGGGCTAACTGACCTGCTTTTATCCTCACCTATCATCTATCACTGGTACTCCGCCAGCGTATACCGATACCAGTGTTACCATTCCATTATCATCCATAAAAAAAACTTAATTTTGTTACTTATTTTTATTTGGATTAATATTTCAACATTTATTATTTCAGATGTTAACTATCCACTGCCATCCCCATAAGGAGAGTTTTACCCGAAGTTGGCAAACTTGGCAGGCGGGTTAGCAACCGCAATTGGGCTTTTAGAGATGTTTTAAAAGGAACGCTGCTAACCATCCCACTACCATTAAGTTCCTTTAGTTGCTTCTTACAACACCCACAGGAAAGAAAGGGGTGGCCTATTCTATGACGGAACCACACGGACTGGACTAAAGTTTCATCGTTGTATAAATTGTAAATAACCAATGTAAGTATTAGCTACCTATACAACAAGGTACTTATGACAACAACGTACCAGATCTGAGTTCAATTCCGGAGAAGTACGTAGAGACGTCGAATGTGGAATTATTTGTAGGAACTATGTGGTCATAGTCTCTGTTGGTGGCGTTGCTTTCTTTTTCTTTCATCCGTGTCACCTGGTTGGTCCTGTACAGTTGAGAGTAATTAATAATAATATTATACGATGTAGAATTTATTATAACCATTGAATTGATTATAAAAATTTTGTCACTAAATTGCTACATAATTTATGAACTATAGACGGTTGGTCGTAATGGATGTACTATTTCCTATGTACCCATCGTCAAAGGATACATAGATAGTTGACATTGCAAAGTAATATTTGAATCGTTTATATTAAATCGATCATACGATTTATTATTTTAACTTTGGACTATTCAAAAGGGAAATTTGCGTTAATACTATCATTGGGTTTATTCTTGGCATTACGAATAATTCTACATAGGATATGTATTGTACAATTTAATTGAATTTAATGATAGAGTTTAAGGTGTTTAAATATGTATTTAGTTTATTGCCTTTGCCATTATCTACTGTTCCCTCTATCTACTTCTTTAGGGACGTTATGTGAAGATACAAACAGATAATGTAAAATAGAACTTACCAGAAAGTCACCCAATAATCGCATAGTGTTGCAGAGAGCTGTCCTATAACTAGCAACATGAACATAAATATGAGGCGGCCGGCGCGCCCCCCGGCCCGCAGGTACGCGTTGTACACGCGCCAGCTCATGGAGCCGGACTCCCGCTCCTCCTCTTCCATCTCCTGCGCAGGCACCTCGCATGTCGACTCCGTGAGGGACGGTCGTCGTGTTGTTGACAACTAACAATAATACATAATATTCGTTATACATATAGCTTTTCGATATGGCAAATAAATTGACGGCTCACCTGATGGAACGTGGTAATTGTTCTAATAAATATGAAAGGCGGTATTATTATTATTTCAGTTGTTAACTGTCCACTGCTGAACATAAGCCTTTCCCATAAGGGGAGTTTTGCCAGTAGTTGCCACGCTTGGCAACGCCTGGGTTGACAACTGCAGTTAGGCTTTTAGAGATGTTTTAAGAGGGACGCTGCTGTCCGTCACTCGCTCTCCCTTAGTCGCCTCTTATGACACCCACGGGAAAGGAAGGGGTGGCCTATTCTATGCTGGGACACATACGGTGAAAAGCGGTATAGATAATGCTTATTTTGTATGTGCGGTGCTTTAGAGTTTTATCATTTTATTTAGAATTTTATTCTAATTGTAATATCTCCATATTACAACTACTTCTCTACTTAGACTAATATTTCTATCTAATATTATTATTAACGAAAACATTATGATACAGTTATAGTATAAAATTTAGTACTATATACTATAACTGTAAAACAAGGTTTTCGCTTAACAATTAAAATAAAATTTTAAGTTTTAAAAATAGTTTTATGAAATGCCACTTCTAATTTATCATTTCGATAGTAAAGTAGTGAGTTAAAGTTAATGTCCTATTATACTCACTCTGGCAGATGTCCTTCTGGACATTGGTGGAATATGTTCAAGGTTTTCCTCGTTTTCATCGTGAGTTGCAGATAGGAGCTTCGCAAAATCTTTGCCAGAAGTCGCCAGCTCGTTATATGTACCATGTGCTTCTACGGTGCCCTGTTGTGTGATTTTTAATATGTGTTATATTGAATAAAAAATTAATTTTACCTAATAAGTAAGTAAATATTAAAAATATCTCTGCAATAAATTTATTCTGATATCATAAATCTGAAAGTTCGGTAAGACATTCGGATATCTATTACTTTTGATTTGAACGAAGTTATTCCGCATATAGACTATATCTTAGATTAGCAGACGTGATATTTTATTTCAATTTATATGGTTACATTCACGATAAATAAAATACAAAATTAATTAATAAAATGTAGGCACTTGTACCAATTACAAAGATACAGTCTTCCTGCTTATGAATAACATTAAAATTCAAAGAGACAAAACATAATCGTTACTGTTCGTGTTTATTCAAATTCAAACTAACGTCTAATATTTTTTTCAATGAACATTATCTATAAAATGCGGATATCAACTACAGGTTTATAAGGCAAATAAAGTAATACATTATTCATGATGACTATGTAATCGGCTGCCTTGAGATAGTGCAGTTGATGTGTGATGAGGACGCGGGTGGTGTGCCGCAGGTATCCGTTTATGCATTCGTCGAACAGCTGGCGGCCCACGTGGGCGTCCACCGCCGACAGCGGGTCGTCCAGCAGGTAAATGTCGGCCTGCAAACATTATTTGAAACGTTACACAACTCTATTTTTAGGGAGGGGATTGGGATTGTTAACACTTTGTTGACCGGTGACGAGTTAACTCGTCATTGCACTAGCGTGTAGGTACGTTCTCCTATCACGACGGACAAGACCGTTTGGATTATAAAGCGTTGAGGATCAAAAAATACTTTTCTTTGTATTTAGGTTTTTATCACAATTTAAGTTAAATTCCAAAGATTCCATGACGGAATTCCCGGTCGACAGTGTTAATATAGGCGGCCCGATTGCTGCCAATATACTCCAAGAATGAAGAGCAGCACAGTTGTGTTGCTCTTCACTGACCTGCTGAACTTCAGTTATTTGAATTATTTGAAGCAGTTCAACTGAACTGCTTCAAATAATTGACGGGTGAAAATTGTCATCGTTTTTTCTTATCGTTGTTAAACATTAGGGCTTATTAATGTCGCAATTATTTGTCATAAAGTGTCATCTTCAAGGGCGGTACATATTAAGTTTTCCAGAATCGCAAATGTCTAAATTAGGTCTTATACCTGTCAGATCGGTCTCCAGGAAGGATGGATAATTCGTATTGAGAATTCATCATTATGGGTTAACTGGCTTCACCGAGAGCTACTATCTTTCACTGGTACCTTATCAGTGTAAATCATTAGCGTAGGAAGAGTTACCATTTGATTCATTACTAACTCAATTAACTGTTATGAAAGAGTTGTATCTAAGTGGTATATTATGTCAACTTGACCACAAAGGTTACGTGTTAGGGTCTGCTCAACATCAAAAACTTTATTTCAATTTAAACTCCGACTAACTCTCTGATAATAATTGAAAACATTGATAACATACTAAATTGTCCATTTAAGTTGGGCATAATATGTCTACCCTCATATTTTAACTTATAAATAGGTTAAAATATAAGGGTCGGCAGCGCGCGCGTTACATCCCTGGTGTTAGAGGCGTTCATAGGTTACGGTAACTCTGTTTAACATCAGACGGGTCGTATGCTTGTTTGTCACCATAGTTATATAAAAAAAAAGTTTAACATAATACACCAGTCATATAGGTACATGGCTATACACATACTAAGCAGTGAACGAGGCTGGGTAGTTAATTTGGTTTTTACATAAAAGGAAGTCGATTAGGACGTTAAATATTGATATAACATCAATAAACATATACGTTGCGTATGTACGTACTTGTCTGTAAACCGCTCTGGCAAGATTTATGCGAGCTCTCTGACCGCCCGAAAGGGAGGCCCCTCTTTCACCGACCAGAGTTTGGTCGCCGTGCGGAAATTGTTGGAAATCTTTAAGCAGTGCACACACTTTCACTACCTACGGACAAAAACAAGAACTTATTAACTGTAGAATAAAATAAACTATATATACTTAGCAGATGATGTTATAGGATAAAAATAAATATATATGTATATTGAAGAGCATTATGTTTTAAGCAGGAACTTGAGTAACATCTGTACAAGTGTAGTAGCATAAATGCATATATTCTATTTTTAAAAACATATACGGCATGTAAAATCAATTGGCAGTCAATTGTTTACAATGATTTATCTGTAAATAAAATATAACTATAAATTGTTATATTAAATATTAATTTATATGAAATAATATTAAATTTATATAAATACTGGTAATGGCAAACTAAAATAAAAAATATAAGAGTATAATAGTACACAACTTGATATTGCATCAGAGAGTGACAATCATTGCCTACAGACGTGTACAAAGGATGTGAATATCACAGATTATAATAAATTTCGTCGTCAATTGCATTCATGATCACTTCACAAGGCATGTGTTATGACTTCTTATAGAGATTGCACTGAATTTGCTATTGTTTTTGACATATTTGGACCTCTAGATAAGTGGCAAGCGAATCTAATGATGGAATCGACATCGCTAACGTGTCCATGAGATAGAATGAGATAGCAAAGTCCGATGTCTAATTCCAACACATGGACTTGCTTGCGATAACGATTCCATCGATGTGTCTGTTTACTACTTGTCCAGGGGGCTAGGTATGTCATAAACGATAGCAAATTCAGTGCAAAGTTCGGTGTTCGGTAAGTGGCTATATTCTTCTTCAAAAAAAAGCAGAATATAATAAAGTACGAGTAAAGCTGGAGAAATTTTTGAATGAGAATTAAAGAACAAGATCCAATATCTTTATATTATTATTAACTGATGTTTATTTTTAATTCATTGTAGAAGGAGTACAGTCTATTCAGTAAGTTTTAGTTGCCAGGGTTAGTTAAGAGAATCTGTAATTGTCATACATCATATATAATTAGCCGAGTGTTAAAACTAAAGAAACAAGTATTTAAAATTTGAACAAGTGTAGATGAGCAAAACACTTTAGATATAAGTGGATAGTTACCTATTTAATATATTTTTTGCTCGAATAAATAAAAGTAAAGTAATTAACTATATTTATAAAAAAAGAAATAGATTTCCACGATTAAACGAGTTTTGTGACAATTTCCTTGTAAGTAAATGTTAATTAATAAGTTAGATATAGAGTCATTTATAATTACCAAATACAATTAAAGAAGGGAAGTTGCAAACAAATTATACCTCTTTGTATTTCTTAGCGTTATAAGGTAGTCCAAATAGTATATTCTGTCGAACAGTTGTGACGAAGAGCCAAGGCTCCTGAGAAGCGTATGATATCGGCCCGCTTAAATGTATGCGACCGCTTGTTGCTCGCAATTCGTTTAGTAGTAATTGCAGGACAGAACTCTGAAACAATAATATTATCGTTGTTTGGAAATATAAAACTCTAAACTAGGAATATACATGTATACATACACACGTTTTGTCTTGGCTAACTACTGGCAAATATGAGGGAGGACTATGTTCAGTAGAGGACAGTTGACGGTTATTATAATGATACTATTTGTTCATATAAGTATGGTTTCATCAATTTTTATATACAAAAGAACAGCCAAAGTTAACAATCAAATTACAATGCCACTAAATATAATACAGTTTGCCTTAATAGCCATTATGCCCACTATTTAATATTACGAGTATATCAAGAATATGGATTAATTTCAGTGAAAATATATTTATTGAAAATTATTATAATGATTACTGTCTATTGTTCTATACTATACATGCACTGAATTAAATACGCCGTATTAGAAAAGTATCTATATCTACAACGAACATAATGAAGTTTCTATATATACAACATATATATAAAATCCATAAACCATATTATTTGAAATTATAGTTATATTTTTTTAAATATTTTTGTTAGATAATGCTAAAATATCTAAATAGTACATGTATAAAGTAGACATATCTCCCACATATCGTTCAGTCAACAATTCAGTTAAGTATAAACTTAGATCTACATACAAAGAGTTCGTTGGGCCACAATAACTTACAGTAAGTTAACATTTAGGTTAATAAGACTTTCTTTGTTTAAAAAAAAAAGAAAGTTAAATGTTTATATTATAATAGAAATAAATTATATTTGTACCTTTCCAGATCCGACGGAACCTATTATAGCACACAGTTTTCCTTTCGGCACGGTGATGTTCAAATTCTTCAGACTAACAGGACCGTTTTCGGTCCAATTAGCACAGACATCCTGAATGAGTATACCTATGTCTGAATTAATTGGAGTATTATATGTCTGTTTCATCAAACCTTTTTCTGTGTTATCAAAACCTGAAAGAAGATTTCAGTTGTGGACATTATTGTTCATTTTAATGTAAACAATAAAATATGGTTATATTTTGTTGAAATGGTTGTAAAAACGCTAGTAATTATTTAAATTTGTTCAAATTAAATAATTTTTTTTTAATATAAAGATGCTTTAATATTGTATTTGCAACGTGAATCGAAGTAAATATTTTTTGATATCGTATTACAGCTTTACATTTGCATACCAAATGATTTATCCATTTTATTTCATACAGGTAAATAACAATAATAAAACAACACTACAATAGTAAGTATTAATAATACTCACCATGATTCAATATTCCCTCTTCGTCTATTTTTTTGAAAGTGTTAGTAACTAGATCCACTTCACTTAAATTTTTGGCCTTTCTATTCTCCACGCTTTCGACGAGTTTCGCGATATCCACACCAGGCACACCGCGCAGGTCTTCTCTTTCGTCTGTTGTATTTATTAGAAATTACCACAAACTTTGCGATATGTAATTTGCAGAGGCCGATCTAGCAATTTTGCTGCTTCAGGCAAAAAAACTATTTTAATAGCCAGTCGCTCCCAATTTTGCTGCCACTAAAACCATCGTGACTTTGGGTTCAGTTCTAGATCGGGTCCTGCTAATTTGTAATAACAATACACAAGAAGTAACGGAAATCAGTAATCTAGTGATAGCTAGGATAACATTTAAAAAAATCTGACAGTTTGAAAAAATGTGTAAAATAGGTATAAATGTATTTTGTAAAATTATGTATAATTTACTATCGCTAGATTCCAGATTAACACATTTCTTTTTTATAGCCTATATAAAAACATGAACAAATCTAGTGGGAGATTTTTAACTAATTAATTTTTATTATACACGTAAGTAAGTAGTCTTTTAGAATTTAGGAGCGTGCACATAAGTATTTGTAAACGTGTAAAGAGGAAGCAAAATGAATTAGGGCGCTTCTTTTTTAAAATATGTTGCATTTATAATTGTGAAAGATTTGCTAGCTATTTTAAAACTGTTTTATTAAAATAAGGTTACGGCTTTTAGTAAAGATAGAAATGCTAAATTGAAAGATTACCGATTATTTGGAATTATATAAAACTGTTTCGGTATCTCACAGACGTGTACGTATAGTAAGTAAATAATCTAATACAAACACTGTGCCTTACTAAATAATTTGACACGCCTTGGCCTTGTTTTTCAGTAAATTGAAATGAGGATAAGAAACACTGAGTTTATTAATACTGTAATACATATGATAAAGTTGGATATTTTTTAACTTTAGACTCTTTAATTGTTCATAAAGGATATTTAAATAATAGTTTTAAGAATTAAAAATTAAAAAATTAAGTAGCTCGATTACACTTTTTAGGAAGGTGCTTCGGGGACTACAAATCTTTGTATTGGGAAAAGTTATGCATTATGACATTATATTATCATATCAAGCAAATTCCTAACGCTCTTTTCAGATCATAATAATAATAATAGAAGATTTAAGAATAGTCTCTGCTGCAAAATGTACTTACGATACACTTTTGTTTTTTTTTTTATTATAGGTAAAAAATTGCATTTATTACAATTTAAAATAAATGTAATTAAAATAAATTAAAAAGGCCTAAAATGTTATTTTATCTTGTTCTTTTTAGCATTCAAAAAGTGCCATGGTGCTGAAAATGCTAATTGCATTTTTCCTTAGTATTACCATAGCAATTTTTTTAGTAAGAGATCAGCCAGCTCTCTTAATAACCTCTCAACTTTTGTAAAAGTTAGATTAGACATACAAATTTAAAAACCAATTTTTTCCATATACAAATAGCAAGATGATGATAAGGCTATAAAAGTCCTTAAGACCAGATTAGTAAACCATTAAGTTAGTGTTACAAGAAGCAGAACACGTAGAATTAGTGACAAAACACGACAACACGTTCATAATTTACGTACAAAAATATCAAGAAGATAATAGCCATAACACCTTGAAGTGTCAAACTGTTACAACTGTACTATTAGTGATCGTACCGAGCAATAAGAGGGCCTCTATACGACGAATAGATGTTAGAGCCTCCATGCATAACGAAAGAGAGTTCGGCAGCATGACGGCTAGGGTACATTGGAGAATGTTGAACATTTGTGCCATCGGGAATGCCTGCGAACACCATTGTTACTGCATGTTACTAAGGGGTTTATTACGTTGTATTATCATGTCGGCAATTATAACTTGCGCCGAACCGTATTCATCTATTCGCATTGTCGACGCAATTCGACGTCATATTTTGTTAGAACAGATGTGTCTGCCGTTTCGTCATTCAAGAAATCTGTTATTATTTTTTTTGAAAACATATATACCACCACGTATAAATGTTAATTACTCAAGTATCTTTTCAGAGGTATATAATTACCACCGTTTATATTTAGTATTGTGCGTCAACTAAACAACTTACAACGCAATACTTTTCTAAATATATATTGTATACACGTACCTACGGATTGTAAACCACTGTGCCCATATCTAGAACTACAAACATGCATTAACCATTTAATACAAACTCATCCAATTTATACACTAATCATGCATACCTACAGATTTATGCTTCCAATGCGAACATTACCTAACATGCATAAGCACGATTTTTACAATTTATAATATAATTTTATAATATTTTTAGACACTTATTAAAATCATGCATTCTACATAAACTACAACAAGGGTTAATTCATAGGTATCCGAGCCACAGTTATAATTTGTGCTCGTGTGTGGCGAGATTGGATATAATGTTAATGTACCGTGCAATTTCGCACAATGCATGACATGCCGAGACCACAGGCCTCACGTACCCAACAGCATAAATGCTTCGAGGCGTTGTATCGAAATCAGCGCCTCAGCCAAAAACGATACAGCATTTGACATGATAATCGATAAGGTTCCTTGTAGGGTGTTGTAGAATTGTGCCAATGGGAATACCTGTAAAGTTCTTACAATGTTAAAAGAGCATCAGTTGACACTAGAGAGTTGAGAAAAGTTTACAACATTTTGTAATTTTTATATAACCAACAAATGAAGCACAAAAGAGTGTCCGCTCTGTTATAAATAAATATGATGTTTACATATGAGAATGAAGTATTCAAAATTAGCCACCTTTGGCAACGAGTTGTTTAAATATTTAAAAATATCATGCACGGATAACGTGTCATTGTTGCTTCATATATCTATCAGAAGTGGACCCGTGGAGTGGATATTACACCTATTAGAAATTAAAAATAGTTTACTATTACAAATTGAACACAAGGCGTCTTTATAACGTAATGCCTCCTTTTCTCAGATATATCCCCTGTTATCTCATGATCCGCCACATAACGGAGATGAAGGGCCACAGTGTGAGTGCCGACACTTGAAATGAACCCATAAGCCAATGGGTAGGAACCCATTATAGTAATTTGTTCGAAGGTTTTATATATAACTGACCCAATAAGTTAGGCTTTTATATAGAAGGACAACTTTATAGCTTCTTGAGAATGGAAAGGATTTATTTAGTCACATAATCAGGAGATTGAGAATACCTGATAAAATTCAGAAAAGAAGAATTTCACTTGTACTTGAAAGTTTAAGTAGTATAATATCAATAATTTATTGAATGAAAATGCCAAAGTTGATCTAATATGAGTAGTCTTCACAAATATCAAAACAATTCATGAAATCAATGATATGCTTTGGATGGCTGCCATTTTCCATGAGATGGGCCTCCTGTTTATTTGTAATCGTAAGAGTAGATATAAGACAATAATATAAGATATAAGAACCATATTTTGATAGACTTTGGAAAAAATTGCGCTTTATGAATTATGAAAATCGAAAAAGATTTTGAAACAAGTACTTACAATGTCAGCAGTAACTTGAAAACCGAATAAAGAGTAAGACAGTAGAGTGATGTATAGGGTGAGTCGTTCTGTGAACACCATGAAGCTCAGGTATACCCCTCTCAGATATGAAGCTTGTGTAATGCAGTTGATCTCATTTTTACGAGCTGTCGCTACCACTTGCTCGAAAGGTTTTTCCCATGCGTACCTTTTTATTACCTTAAAAAATTAACACAAACTTAAAACGACATATTTTACATTTAGACATTTATTGTATTGTATAAGGATTGTTATAGTTTATGGTACAACACGATTCTTTCATTTCTATTACAGTTCTTCTTTTAAAATTACAATTCTTTTATTTGTATTATAATTGTTTAGTATTAACTTTATTAACAAAGAGAGACAAAATGTATAAAACGTAATTTATAGTAGTCAAATCAAAAATGAGAATTTTTAGAATGGCAAACAAGCTTCAAACACGAATGGGACAGAGGTACACAAGCAATGGACTTTTGTACAAAGTTCTGTCTTAGAAAGGATTTGGTATCAAAACTAACCTGCATTCCATTAATAATTTCGTCCATAATGCGCACTCGCTCGTCAGTTTTACAGGCAGTGTTCAATCTTAACCTTGCAGCTAATTTGCTCATGTAAGCTGCAACAAACGAGATTGTTTAGTATCTATGCTAAAATAGGTAAAAAAGATTATATAGGACATTTGAACAAGATTAATTTAAATATTCCTTGTATTTAATTTCTGGTTACCTAGTAACAATAGATTGAATAATTCAGTTCTTCAGTTCAGATTTAGAAAGTACATACTTTCGGAAAGTATCTCTTATGTTAGGATTTCATGCACAACAACAAGTTGAATATTAAAGTAGTTATCTCGAAGATTATTACTTAAGTATTCAGTTCACAGAAATGTAATATTCATTTGAAGCTATCAAGAAATTAATTTGCAAGAAATATATACCCACAACTTACTACATATACCTACTTAGGTGTTCGCGACATTATTTGTATATATGTAATCGTAATTTATAGTTGTTAAGTCCCTAGTTAATCGTTTCTGTATTCTGTTATTTTATATAGATTTTACATAGATTTAAGATAGTGTAAGTTAAATAAAGTATTTCTTTGTGTGTTGTCATTATTACCTACGAATAGAAATAGAAATTGTAACAATAAATAGAATTAAGAAATTGTAAATTGCAATAAATAAACGCTATAGAGTACCGATCTGAAGAGACACGCGTCTCGTTCTTTCTCGCCCCGTCCCGCTCGCGCAGATTCGCTAACGCGAGTTGGAAACGTTATCATGCGAGCGGGCGGGTATAAAGATAGGCCGCCTCTCGTCGAGCGGCATTCGCTTCCGGGCAGCGACGCACTACACTCGAGAAGAAATAGGACAAGAAGAAAAAATACTCTCTTCAGACGGTACCGGAGGCTTCAGAATAGTAATCGCTGTGTTTCACTCCAGCCTGAACCAACGCCCCTACAGTCCACGCTCACCGTACGGCAGTCCACACCGTTCATCGTGGTCCTTCGAGAAGCCGGATTGCTGGAGGAACACCGTTGGTACATCGAGAAGCTGGATCGCTGGAGGAAGACCATTCTGAAGCCGGATCGCTGAAATGCCGACTACGAGAAACATGAAGTCGTCGCAACAAAAAATCGCCGTCACCGAAGCCACAACGTCCGCCGCCACCACGTCGACTACGGCCGCCGGAACGCTGTCCGTCGCTGCCACGCCGTCCGTTGCTGCCACCACGTCGTCTGCGGCTGTCAGAATGCCTTCTGTCGCTGCCACGTCGTCTACCGCCGCCACCACATCGACTACGAACACGTCCGGCGATACGACGACCACAGGAGCCACGGAGACTACCGAAGCCACAGGAACGACAGAGGAGACAGCAAGGAAGAAGGAACCGAAGCACGGCACGGCACGCACGGTTCGCACCACGGCCTCGCAGAAGAAGAAGGCTCTGGCCAAGGCACGGGAGGAGCTACTTCGAAAGGAGGTGGAATTGGCCGCCGCACGTGTCGCCGCCCTGGAAGCCGAATCAGAGGACGACGAGGAAGTAGAAGACGACGACGCTACCGTCAGAAGAGAACGAACGTCGGATTGGGTTCGTCGAAGCACGCTGGCACTCACAATGGAGCCGCATGTACCAGAGATAGAAGAAGTCACCGGCAAGCGTCAGGGGTTCGTCCCATCGAGACCCGTTGAAGAGGATTCGAGAGCGCCGCCGCCACAGCCGAGCAGCGACGCACTTCACCGGGACCACGCACGCCACGTTGACCCACATGCCGCCATTCCTACGATAGCAGCAGCGATGCAGTCGATGAAGAAGGAAGAACCGGTGCTGAAGGTGGGCATCGATTGTAATGAGTTTGCGATCGCCATGCAGATGGCCGCTCGCAACATACTGCCCTCCACAGCGTCAAGAGTCACCGAGTTGCCAGTCTTCAATGGATCGTCGAGCGAGTGGTTACCATGGAAGATGGCCTATGAAGAGAGCGCAAGTCAACTCACAGAACAAGAGAACCTAGCAAGACTGCGCAGAAGCTTGAGGGGGCCGCAAAGGACGCGGCACGCTCCCTATTCGTCGGGTCTACGACCGCAGAAGAAGTAATGAAGATGTTAGCCGCGAGGTTCGGCCGCCCTGGAGCACTCGTCACAGCCGAACTGAACAAACTCCGCGCGCTACCACGACTCTCGGACAACGCAAGAGACGTCTGCCTCTTCGCAAGCAAGGTGCAGAACGTCGTCGCCACGATACGAGCGCTGAACAAGAGTCACTACCTCTACAACGAAGAAATAATGAGAAACGTCACAGAGAAGATGCCGTCGGTACTACGCTTCAAGTACTACGATTTCGCCAACGACCAACCGGAGGGACAACCGGACCTCATAACACTCTCTCAGTTCCTGCAAAGGACCGCCGCACGATGTGGAAACTTCGCCCCCGCCGAGGAGATACCGTCCGAAGACCGGCGGGAGTCCGCTCCTAGGAAGACGGCGAAGACATACACGACGCAGGAGAAACCCGCTACACCACCGTGCCCGATGTGTCGACGAGAGGGACACGCTCCAGCGGACTGCAAGACGATGAAGGAAGCGGACACATCGGCGAGATGGGAGCTAGCGAAGACTCATAGGCTGTGTTTCCGTTGCCTCAAAGTGAGAAGATTTCGCCACGCCTGCAAGAGCAAGAGATGTGGAGTAGATGAGTGCACGCAGACTCATCACCCTCTGCTGCACACCACGCGACAACAGCCGGAGAATGAAGTAAGTAAGACAAGTCCGCCGCAGTCACCGCATCGGCAAGGGAAAACGACAAGATCGCGTTCCTGAAAATCCTGCCGATACGAGTCACCGGTCCCACGGGAACGTGCGACACCTACGCGCTACTGGACGACGGGTCGACTTGCACCATCATCGAGACGACGGTGGCGGAGCGAATCGGTGCTACGGGTCCCCCCGCACCATTCTACATGGAAGGTGTGGCCGGGGCACGGATCAACGCAGCTCAATCGACGCGTGTTCACTTCAAGATCCGCGGGCGGAATTCACAAGAATACACAGTGGGGGCACGGACGATGGACAGACTGCAGTTATCACCGCAGTCGGTACCGCGCAGCGTCATCAAGGGCTGTCCACATCTGCGGGACATAGAGAGGGAATTGGTCTACGAAGAGGGCAAACCGACGGTACTGCTGGGGCAAGACAACTGGCACCTACTGCTGGCCCACGAAGTCAGAAGAGGATCCGACACGCAGCCGGTCGCATCACTCACCGACCTGGGATGGGTACTGCACGGTACGAGTCGCGGCAGGACAAGACAGCAGGTGCACAGAATCAGCCACATAGTGACGACACATGAAGAGGAACAATCGATGGAAGAAATGATGAAGCAACATTTCGCGCTCGAATCGCTGGGAATCGCACCGAAGAGGTCTTACAATGAAGAGGAACGTCGCGCCCTACGCATTTTAGAGGAGAAAACTCGTCCGTTACCGGCGGGAGGATACGAGACGGGGTTATTATGGAAGAAGGACGACCCTGTGCCGCCGGACAACTACGAATCGGCAATGCGACGTCTCCAACTGGTCGAAAGGAAACTCGACAAGAATGAAGAAATCAAGAAGAGATATGAACAGCAAATGGACACACTACTCAAGAACGGGTATGCTGAAGTCGCCCCGCCACGGAGTTCCCAACGGGTGTGGTACCTGCCACACTTCGCCGTCATCAACCCGCAGAAACCGGGGAAACTGCGGATCGTGCACGACGCAGCAGCCAAGACGAAGGGCATCAGTTTGAACGACATGCTGCTGCCGGGCCCCGACTTACTTCAATCGCTACCGGGGGTCCTCATGCGGTTCCGGCAACGACGGGTGGCAGTCACGGCGGACATAAAGGACATGTTCATGCGGGTCACCATACGGGAAGAAGATAGGGACATGCAACGGTTCCTGTGGCGAGGAGATCGACGAGAGGGTCCACCTGTGGAATATAGGATGAAGAGTGTCATATTCGGCGCAACATCGTCACCGTGTACAGCGATCTACGTCAAGAACAAGAACGCAGAACAGTACAAGGAAGAGTTCCCGGAGGCAGCAACGGCGGTGGTCATGAACCACTACGTCGACGACTACCTCGCCAGCTTCGACACGGAAGAGCAAGCCGTACGCGTCTCAAGACAGGTCGCACAGATCCACGGTCGAGCCAACTACTATCTCCAACGGTGGGCGTCGAACTCGCATCAAGTGCGCGCCGCGTTCTCCGACACCGGCGGGGACAGCGTGGTACAACTCGACGCGGAGAAGATACTGGGGATGGTATGGCGACCTTCTGAAGACACCTTAGGCTTCAACTTCAACGGACACAAGCTTCCGCCACAGATAGCTAGCGGGGAACAGACGCCGACGAAGAGGGAAGCGCTACGAGCAATCATGTCGCTGTTCGATCCACTGGGCCTCGCCACTCCCATCACCATACAGGCGAAGAAGATATTGCAGGAGACGTGGCGTACCGGTATCGACTGGGACACCGAGCTGCAACCACGGGAAGCGGACGCCTGGCGGAGCTGGATGGACCACGTGCGACGGCTGTCCGCGCTGGAGGTGCCGCGGTGCTACCCGGAGGTAGCCACGGCCGATACAGCGGAGCTGCACACATTCGTCGACGCCAGCTCGGACGCGTACGCCTGTGCCGTGTACTGGCGGGCCGTAAGCGCGACCGGCAAGGTCCACGTGTCGCTGATCGCGGCAAAGGGACGAGTGGCCCCACTCAGCAAGGTGACCACGATACCGCGACTGGAGCTGCAAGCGGCCGTCCTCGGGTGTCGCCTATCGCGCACGGCAGTCGAAGAACACGACCTGAAGCCCGCTCGCCGAGTATACTGGTCGGACTCACGCACCGTGCTCGCATGGCTACGCACCGGTCCTCGCGCATACAAGCCGTTCGTCGCGCATAGAGTCGCCGAGATCGTCGAAGAAACGAAGACGAACGAGTGGAGATGGATACCGACGCGGCACAACGTAGCAGACGACGCCACACGCGACCCACCGACGGACTTCGGCTCGCAGCATAGATGGTTCCGTGGGCCGGACTTCCTGTACCTTCCCGAAGAGCAGTGGCCGCGTGAAGATAGTACGAGCGACGATAGTCAAGCGGAAACGGGAGAAGAACGCGTACACAAGCTACAGAACGCGACGCAGTTGTCTATAGCATTACCCGATCCGTCACGTTTTTCTAATTGGTTGAAACTTGTTCGCAGTTCAGCACGGGTGTTGCAGTTCATCGACCTCCTGCGACCGACCAGTCAACGCTGCACCGCCATCCGAAAGAGAAACAAGAAGAAAGAGAGCGCCGACCCCACTTGGACCCGCACGAAGAAAGTCGATAGAGAGAAGACGAAGATGAAAATCAAGAACAGCAATAGTCCATCTGTGTGTTTCATCCCCATAGACACACACTACCTAGATCGCGCGCGACGGCTATGGATTCGCGCGATACAACAAGAGGCGTTCGGCGACGAAATCGCAGTATTGAAACAAGGGAAACAGCTGCCGTCATCCAGTCGACTCATACAGCTGTCAGTCGTCATAGACAACGACGACATTCTGCGACTTCGATCGAGAATAGCAGCCGCCGCCGATCTGTCAGCCGAGCAACGAGAGCCCCACATCGTCGACGGAAACCACGCCTGGGTGCGCCTATACATCGCATGGGTGCATCGGAAACTTCACCACGGCGGCTTCGAGATCACCACGAACGAGGTGCGACAACACTTGTGGGTGTTGCGCCTACGACACGCCGTCCGCAGTGAACTGAAGAGGTGTCAGCTGTGCCGCCTACGAAGAGCAAGACCGGCGCAGCCATCAACGGGCAACCATCCACATAGCAGGTTGGCGCATCATCAACGACCGTTCACGTTCACCGGCCTAGATTACTTCGGGCCTATGACCGTGACAGTGGGCCGCACTCACCCGAAGCGGTACGGAGTGCTCTTCACCTCCCTAACGACGCGCGCAGTCCACCTAGAAATCGCCGGCAGCCTCAGCACGGACTCCGCCATAATGGCCCTGCGGCGCTTCATAAGCCGCAGAGGGTGTCCCACTGAACTATGGTCCGACCAAGGCACCAACCTCAAAGGTGCTGACGTCGAACTGAAGAAAGCAGCCGAGGAAGCCATCCAAGAAGAGTCATCAGTCCATTTCATCCGGTGGCGCTACATTCCCCCGAGCGCACCCTTCATGGGAGGTGCGTGGGAACGGCTGGTGCGTAGCGTGAAGACCGCACTAGCCGCTACGTTGAACGAGCGGGCCCCCAAGGAAGAGGTCCTCCACACTCTACTGGTCGAGGTCGAGCACACCCTCAATAGTCGACCGCTAACCCACGTGTCAACATCGGCAGACGACGACAGCGCCCTAACCCCCAATCACTTCGTATTGGGCGGTCCATCGCGCGTCCCACTGCCAGGCAGCTTCACAGAGAGCGACGCGGCGGGACACAAGGAGTGGCGTGCCAGCCAGAGGCTAGCTGATTGCTTCTGGAACCGGTGGGTGAAGGAGTACCTACCCGAGTTGCAACACCGGCGGGAGCCCCGAGCTACACACGGAGCCATCAAAATGGACGACCTGGTCCTGATAGCTGATGGGACCTTGCCTCGCAACACGTGGCCGCGAGGCGTGGTGGTGGCGACCTACCCTGGACCAGACGGCGAGATCCGAGCAGTCGACGTGCGGACGAACAAGGGCATCCTACGGCGACCCACTAAGAAGCTGATCATACTGCCCACATCGACATCGAGCGACGCGAACACGAGTTAACTCCAGCTACGAGAGCTGCGGCGGGAGATTATGTTCGCGACATTATTTGTATATATGTAATCGTAATTTATAGTTGTTAAGTCCCTAGTTAATCGTTTCTGTATTCTGTTATTTTATATAGATTTTACATAGATTTAAGATAGTGTAAGTTAAATAAAGTATTTCTTTGTGTGTTGTCATTATTACCTACGAATAGAAATAGAAATTGTAACAATAAATAGAATTAAGAAATTGTAAATTGCAATAAATAAACGCTATAGAGTACCGATCTGAAGAGACACGCGTCTCGTTCTTTCTCGCCCCGTCCCGCTCGCGCAGATTCGCTAACGCGAGTTGGAAACGTTATCATGCGAGCGGGCGGGTATAAAGATAGGCCGCCTCTCGTCGAGCGGCATTCGCTTCCGGGCAGCGACGCACTACACTCGAGAAGAAATAGGACAAGAAGAAAAAATACTCTCTTCAGACGGTACCGGAGGCTTCAGAATAGTAATCGCTGTGTTTCACTCCAGCCTGAACCAACGCCCCTACAGTCCACGCTCACCGTACGGCAGTCCACACCGTTCATTAGGTGATAATCTGAATATAGGATAGGTATATAAAAATTATATATAAAATATATTTGAGCAGTATTTAGTTACATCAGTGATAAGAATAGAATAAAACTAAATGTTATTTAATTATTATATAAATAATCAAATTATTTGAAACAAAATTCGTTTAGTTAAAATGTTAATTGTAACTGCTGATAAAATATTAAATAATGCTGAAATTGAACGTGTTGTAGAGGAAGGACGTCAGCTATATTAGTTCCAGTCACAACGAGTACGAGAATGACAGTCATGGCGGAAATAACGTAAAATTGTAATGATTAGGATTCAATATTATTGCAAGAGCTGTTTCCCATGATTTACCAATATCTTTAAAGTATATTGTGGGAAATATTAAGTGTGTTTATGCATGGATAGTAGAACTTAGTGTTATAGAAAGATATTTTAAAAAAATGTCAGTTATTTCTAAGATTATTCCTACATACAAATAAATACAAGTTCACCTGTCTATTAATCTCATGCGAAAGTGAGCTGGTTTGTCACCTCTTCAGGTCTTAATAGTTCAAATAATCGTCATGTCTATGAGCATAAACTTTGATCGGATATAGTATCTACCCGTAATAAAACTATCTATATTATAATAATCGAGATTAATTGCACACGAAGTTTTTAATGACAGCAATATTTTTTAGCCAGTAATATAAGTAGTAAGTACTTAAAGTTATATGTAAGGAACATGTTGCTAAAATGCGTATACGTATTATTGTAAAAATGAGGTAGTATTAAATTATAGATTGCATTTGTATATATTTAAACACAGAGTGAAATTGAAGTCGTTAGCAGTATATAAAATTATGAAACTATCCATACTATAGATTTTATTAAAAAAGAAATTTCATGAATCATTAATTCAAAAACTACATAAAATTTTGGGTCTCCCATATTAACTCAAAAGTTGAGCATGTTATGATAGTAAAGGAGGCTTAAATTTCTTTGTACATTTTCACCTCATGTTTCTTTTGTTAAATTGTTCAGTTTCGTTTTGGTAAAAACTCCCTTCAAAGGATGCTATTGATTTCTAATTTCTTTCTGACTCTATCTGAAGATAATTATTTCTTGTTATTAATTTATTATGTAAAACTTACAAAATGATTTACAATTGTAGGAAATAAGTATATTTAATTATTTACTATATTCACTATTTTATGTACAAGGAAATAAACTGAAAAATGACAGTAATCGATGCGGAAATAGTAGTAGATGAGATATATCTAACTCGATGCTAGAAACAACCGTAGATCATATAAATAAATAATTACCTATTTGTGTATAGATATAGAGAGAACTGATTAGGGAGTCGATTAACGAAAATAGTATATTTCGACAAATATTAAGGTATATAAATTTCGTTTTACACAGAAAAAAGTTAACAGGAATTTTACCTAAAAAGAATGTTTCCATTACATTATTTTACTATAGCTCTATATTGTAATTTGTTTCATAGAATTCAGATATTCTACTTAAATATGCGCTAAAAAATACTGTCTAATTATTTATTATTCATTTAATCTAATCTAATTATTTATAAAACTAATATATTATAAAATTATCATAAATGTATCAGTTTTACTAAATAAACAAAACACTGTTCTGTCAAAAGAAAAATAAAAAATCGGATTAGTATGTAGAGTGTGAAGATACGTACATTGGACTGGTATGGTTTGCAGCACAATACCGACGACTCCAACAACAGCTGCATAGCCGATTTTAATGTAAATGAGATAGCAGATCAGGACCACTTGAAGAGGCAGCAACCAAATGAAGTGAGTATAAATGAAGGCGTAGTCGAAACGGTTTACGTCGTTTGATAGAAGATTTACCACTTGGCCGGCTGTTGTCTGCGCTAAAGCGCCGGAGCTCATACGCATTACCTGGCAACAACATTCTATATTGAATACTTGATAATATTTAATAACTTACAAGTAATTATTGTATATACAATAAATGCAATGTATATCAATGAATTCACAAAACAGAAAAGTTTTCGACTGTCATAAGAAATTAATAACTTCGTTGGATTGAAAGATGACGAGAATGACAAACGAAAAATGTTTAGATCTTAACTTTATATATTTATTATTCTTGTCTTAGATGACTGAGTGTATGAATCATAGTAGTATACTAACATCATCATATTATTATTACCAAGAATTATTTAAAAAAAATATAATATTATATTTATTTATTTATTCATGAAAAATAATTACAACATTATAACAGCAAAAGCCAAATCAATGTTATAAACCTAATGTGCTAACATACAAAATTATAATAAAAGTATTTAACCTGACTCCAGATATTTGTGAGTCGCTTCCAATATTTTGTTTGTTATAAATATATTTTGTTCTTATAAAGGTAGACTTAGTGCAATATCTAACATGATATAGTATGTTTGTAGTCCTTAAATTACTTTAGGCTTTCATCTCTATATATCAACGATCCAATGACAAACGACAAGAATATCATGGACTTCATTTTAGGCTTCACCACTATACATTATTTGTACATTCTATAATAATCGTTTAAAGATTGACATTGATAGATACAAATATAACAAAATCGTTTCACTATACAAACTGACACAACGACTACGACATATAGATAACTAAAGGTAAGAAATGTATACCGGTAGCAGTTTCTAATTCGATAGCAGCATAATATTTTATGTATCTGAGAGTTTGTTAGGTAATGAATTCCTCTTTAATAATTCAACAGTTAGTTCACTTACCTTTCTGTAAATGAGTGAACAAGCAGCGATACGTAGTTTCATTCCAAATTGTTGTGTTGAATATGTACCGTGGTGGTTAAGAAATGCTATCAGCAGCGACATTAGGATCACTGCCGTGGCACAGTACACTGCTTGTTCGTATGGCATGTCCGAACCAGGCTCCCAGTACCATAACATCATGCTTAATGCAACGGGTTGAAATGGTCTGACAAAAAGAACACGTTGTTAGTATCTTTGTAGAATTCTATTAGATATCTAGGTATCTTACTAACGTTATAAACTAGCTATGTAGGTACAAAGTTAATAATGTAAATTAAAATAAAAATATCTTTATATTGCATATAGGCTAAGTTATGCTTTCTTTATGTACTAAATTTGAAGAAAATCCGTTTAGTCGATTAAGCGTGATTGAATAACAAAAATATAAATATCTTTATAAACTTTCACCTCTTTATTTAATCATATTGAAACGGCTGAATGAATATGAGTATAATTTGGTGTACAGATAACATATAGTTACTTTTATCTGAAATTACGTGCTTTTACGTTAGTAGAGTAGTCGCCCACTTTTTTAGTTGTCATAGGTAAATAGCTGAACGGATTTAAGAGAAAATAAGTAAAAAAAAAATAAACTGGGTTAACATAATAAAAAATACTTTTATTCTAATTTTATTAACTTTCTTATACGCATTATATTAACATATTGTTAATAAGTATTAAAAATGCTATATGTGGTACCTATATTTTATTTGGCAATATTTTGTCCTTGTAATCTCTATCGTTTGGGTCACAGTGAGTTCATAGGTCAAATATTAAGTAGCTAAGGCTAAAGATGTAATTGTTATTACTATTGACTGACATTGTGATTTTTTTACGTTTATAATTCAAATACATTTAAATGTAGCCAAATCTAGTTTTAGTCTACCCGTCAGATCTGCTTAATGAACTACATGCATCAGGTCTGTTTATTAAAATTAATAATTAAAAAATACAGATAAATACTATTATTTTTAACTGTCTTTTATTATTATATTTTATTACTAATTAATAAAAGACCTTTTTTATTTTAGCTATTTGTTAATTTTATAATTTTGAAAAAGAAATGACTAGATTATTATTAAAATTACTAAAAAAATTTAAATTGATGCATTATGAAACATCTAAACTATTATAAGAAAGTAAGATAAATTATGTAATAGTATTACAAGTAATAGCTTCATAAAATCGCTTTGAATATAATCCTTTATAGTATTAAAATAATGTAATAATCTAACTTTATTGTAAACTTTGATTATGTCATTATTAGAACTATTTTATATTTTAATATGAAAAGAAAAATGAATAATAATTCGTTGGCTCATAAAAAAATTCTTAATGCAGTTTTTACTCCGTCATCATCCTTGGTTTGCCAATGCAAACTACAAATAAATATACATTTGCCTGTAGATTATCGAAAAACGACAACAATTAGTAAAAGTTACTCGTATAGGTCATTATTTGAACATGGTTTATTATGTTATTAGCATAGTTTTTTATCATTTGTGCCAAAAGTAGACAAAGGCAACAGTGAATTTACTAGATCCTTGCCTGTATTTTTACATACTATATTATATACTAGCTGACCCGGCGAACTTCGTTCCACCTAACAGTCGATTCTTTAATTTTTTAGTTTTTTTTTTATATTATGATACCTACTTAATTTAATTTTATTTTTAGTTATTTCAAATTAAGTTATATTTTTATAGCTGTGGCATGCGCGTGAGCTGCGCGCAGTACTGCACAGTACTTGGACATTGCAATATTACTTTATTTTTCTAAAATATAAGAATTTTTCTAAAATAAAAGTAGCCCAAGTTACTCCTTATTACATCAGCTACCTGCCAATAAAAGTCCCGTCAAAATCGGTCCAGTGATTTCAGAGATTAGCGTAGAACAAACAGACAGACAGACAAAAATTGTAAAAAATGTTATTTTGGTGTATGTACCGTATATATATTCATATACATGTAATAAAAAAACAGTTATTTCAATATTACAAACAGATACTCTAATTTTACTTATATGATATACTTATAAATACATACTTTAATACTTTGCATATTGTTATATATTATCATTTTCAAAGTTTGTTTTTATGTTACGCCTTAATGAGTCAACCAATCGTTATGAAATTTGACATATTTGGCATGGAGGACTAGGCTACTTTTTATCCAGGTCAATCAATATATCCTGGTCACGCGATTATGTTGCAGGTAGTTAGCTGTACCTACAACCTATAAAGCTGTACATACACTTTATTCCTTTAAATAATATAATTTATCTTCTATATTGTTATTGTTGTTAATGTTTATAGATAACTATGTATTTAATAGGTTATATCAATTTGCTTTCTATTTCTATAGCATTCATTCCTAATTCTTAATACTCTATTTTATATTACAAATCTGATTATTTATATATTAATTATTTAAACACGCTAAACGAATTTGAATGAAATTAGTTAATTATATACGTTATTAGTTTTTTATTATCCGAATTAACATATTCAAGTACGAGTATATAAAACTTTAAAGAAAGCATGTTAAAAAAGTACACATGTCGTAGTTAACTGCAATTTTATAGGTAAGGACATGGTTATTAAAATTGCAGTCGCATAAAGAGATATGTCTGTCTGCTATGTAGACTCTTAACCTAATATAATTAATAACATTTACTTACTTCAGCAGCAATGCTTGTATAAAGAACATGATTCCTGAAGGTGCATAACTCATCCAAAAAGCTTTAGTCATAGCGCGCAGAAGAGATGGTTTCCGACCCTGCTTGTTTGCTAACGCGACCTCTTCCAGCCATTTCCTAATAACAAAACATTTATTTGGTTAATAAAGTAATTTATGATTAACACTAATACAAAATTAATATAGGAATAAAACATTTGTTTTATGTTATACAGTAATTGTAAGCCTGTTTTTTTAAATCAGTTTAAAAACAGTTATGCTGTACCAGAATATGAATACAAACTTTAAGCGTTTACGACTCAGGGCTTAATAAGTTTTACAAAAAAAAAAGGTTGAATTTTTCTATATATTAATATCTTTTCAATGAACTCTTCACATACATATTTATATCTAGATTTGCGAAATATTTGCATACACGTGTATTCCGTAATAAATTATGGTGGGAAAATTAAAATTGGAACATTCATATGTTTATTTATAAATTTAGTATGAATCATGGAAAGAGAATGCTATACTATTAATTACTTAATCTATGATATGAATGCATATTCAATATTTCTGATTTTTATAATAATTTATAGGTAACTGGCCAATATTACAAAGTTTTTTCACAAAAGCTTTGGCGAGACCTCGACACAGGAAGAACCAAACAGGTTTTTATTGTCAATAAACCAGTAATCCTTACAAATATCAAGGTATGAAGAACTATTAATCAGAAAGTGACTTTGTTTGGCTGTTATCTTTTAAATATACAATTAAACAGCTTGGTTAATCGTCACGAAATTTGGTTTACATTTACTATCTATGGAGAAAGATATAAATGCTAATTTTCGTCCCGGTTAATGAACATATCCCGATCACACAGATGAATTCGCGAGTAAAAGCTACTTTTTAATTAATTAATTTAATAATTATAAATTGCTCACTACACTTACAGTATCCCAAAATTAATAATTTTATTGGGAGTAACTAAATGCCTGATTGATACAAGGTAGTATAGGTAACATTCAAGTGACTGTCCTTTGGATGGATCATTGTTGTAGTATCAATTGGACCAAGATATATTGTGTTAGTACTTGTTTGCCTTCCTATAGGAACATAAAAAAGTCACTTCAATTATTGAGTATATGTATCTATATATTTTTTGTACAACACTGCGTTGGTAAACAAATTCTAAATAAATAAATATGCTTAAACTTTAGATTATAGGTTAAACACATAATTTACAATAGTACGCATATTAGTTCAGCATAACCTATATAGCTATACAAGTTCCCATATATATATATATATATATATATATATATATATATATATATATATATATATATATATATATATATATATATATATATATATGAGTACCATTTAGTATAGAATTATGTTATATCTACGTATACTACCTACTTAGATATAAATAATCAAGTTAACTGAATGATATCATCATCATTTTTTACTTTTAAAACGAAGGATCTCACGAATTCGTAGACGCGTCAGCATAACTTACTTTACTTGAATACTAAATGTACTTAATGGGTACTTATAACGTGTATATACTTAAATATAAAAGAATTATAATTGGCCGTGGCGATTTTATAATATAGTCTACATCTACATTATCTATATTATTAATATTATAAAGAGGAAAGATTTGTATTTTTGTGTGGATGTATGTTTGTAATTAATAAACTCAAAAACTACTTTGCCGATTTCAAAAATTCGTTCACCATTAGAAAGCTACATTCACCTTGAGTAATATAGGGTATATTTATTGCTAGAAAAGATTAGGGATCCTTACTAAAACTTTAGTAACGTAACTCAAGGTGTAAAAAAAATATCTTTCGTCGCGTGCGCTGCGGAAATTATTAGTGATACAACAAAAGTATGTTCTACAATATTGAAGAAAATATCAATAACTACAAAAAACTTCGCGATACTATATGTCCAACTATTATTGTTATGTCACAATAACCACTTTTTACATTTTAAAAGTTGATAGAAATACCGACCAAAATTACACCATGTTATTCATGCTTCTGTTTAAATCCTTATCCAAATAAATCACATTGTTTTCAAAACTGGTTCAATTTATGTAGATTACTTTTTAAATTGTTCAAATCGGCTATTCCACTCAATACATATTACGACTTTAATAAGTCATAAAAATAAAAAAAAAATAACGCTATCGCGTTGTACATGTTATTCATACCTATTTATTAATCTTTATTCAAATAAATTATTTTGTATTCGAAATTGTTTTAATACCTGCAGATTACTTTATAAATTTTTCAAATCGTAGGTATATTCCATTCAAAAGATATTATGTTAAAAAGTGTAAAATGTTGTAAAAATGTCCACCCGTGCGAAGCCGGGACGGACCGCTAGTTTAATATAAAGTATTCTCTATAAATACTCGATATTACTTTTTTTCAATAATGATGCAGCTGTGACAAAATCGAAAAGCGACATTCGTAGATGTACATGAGCAATCCAGTATTAGGTTCCAGTATTAAGCATTTTTGTGTATGATTTTTGTAATGAGTAATATTTTATAAAATAAATAAACACAAAAAACTAATAGTTGCCAATATTTTATTTTATGAACTAAATATTCAGTTTTGAATACCTGTTAGACCTATGAGATTTATTAATTATAGTTAAATAAATAGACATTTATATTACTTTACACGTGTTTGTTTAATAAAATTATTTAAACATACTGGTATGTGGTGAATTATTGGATCATTTTTATAATTAAGTTCTTATGAAATCATGCATAATATTATGATAGTAAACATAACGATGAATTTTGAAGCCCGGAAAAAGAAGAGTCAATAGTAAATATGCTAATAATGTTATGATGGATGTCTTATGATATCAGTATATTAAGCAGTATATCTATTGAAAGAATTAATCTTTTATTTTATTGGTTTTAGTTGAGAGTGGCGGTTTATTATCCATAGTTGAATATAATTATATTTTGTATAGGTATGTACATATATGTTAATCAATTTACATATGTATTATGTATCAACAAAAAAATAGATAAACCTACAAATATATTTATAAAGATACCTCTTACTAGATGTACGTATAACCTAATTATATATGTTCATACGTAATGTTCTGTGGTTTTACCTTGAACTTTCATAAAATTATTTTTTACGGTTATTTAATTGAATATCTTTATACATTTAATTGACTCTGAAAAGAATATTCTTAATTTGGCTTTATTTTTTATCTTTCCTAGTTTTGCACTGATTTTGATGATTCGTTCTGTGATTGATAAAGTTTATTTCCGTGTTTTTCTATACAGCTATGCATCCGATTTAGTAACTCACTTACTTTTATTGAATGACGTGTATAAAAAATATGTTTTTCTTTATTAGTATTATAGGTATATTATAAAATTTATGAGGATTAGTTGACTATTAAAACGTCAAGAGGTATTAAACTCACTTTAATATTATATATTAGTTATTTACCATGGCTTTGTCTACGTAAAATAATTTAATTCTAGTTAGACCTTTTTAAGAAGCTAACTTACGTTATTTTATATTTTAGTTAGAAATGCAGGTTGTGTGTTTGAATAAGAGCGGCCTCCATTTTATTCGATTTCAAATTATTGAAGGGTCAATTATGTTATAGTTGGTTCTACCGATTTTAAACTAAACATACATCAGGTTTTCAATTGAAATTATTTACATATACAGATCCGTTCAATCATGTTTCATGATGGTGTTATAAACACTAGACAGAAACTGATCTAGAAATGACTGATTTGCTTTCCTTCGTTTATTTAATTAATTATTAATTGCCTTAATAAATTTTAGCAAAAAAAAAATAATAATACGTACAGACATCGACTCTTAGTATTTTAAATGATTATTGAATTGAATCTTTCTAACAATATATCTATATGTACTATTAGAAATATGTTTTGAACACGTGTAAAAAATGAAACCATGTTAAATAAAGCTTGTCAGGTTTCGATGTCACGTCATGTTTGGCCTCATGACTTTTTCGTATGATTATTATTCCAGTGACTTCTATCTTTCTTAGCACATTGCTCGGCTTACAATTAACAGTTATGTTAACTATTGTAATTTATTTTTGCCTTTGATTTCCTAACTAATATTATGAGTAAAAAAGGGAGTATATAGTATTTATATGTTACATAGATATTCTAATGATTCCAATAGAATTTAGTGTACATGATGTAATAAAAAAGGAAATTTGATACTTTTTATCTCGGTCAAACAACGGACAAAGCTGCAGGTACAAACTAGTAAATTAATAACTTCAAAAATAAACTTTTCTTTATTTAAACGTATAAATTACCATGTATCATTATGTCTTAAAATTAAAATTTGAAAGCCATAACAAGATAAAAAGAAATGACGTTTTAATCTTATAATAGTATTCTTAAAATTTAACAAAATTATTCAAGGAACATAGGCTGAAATACATTTTTTTTCTAATTTGATAAAATTTTTTTTATTATTATCACAAAAAATACAAAGTTACAGAAATTATGTTACATTAGCATTCAGAAACCACGTAGGTTTATATTAATACTAGATACATTCAAACTATTTAAATTGTATTAAAATCATGCAAGAAGTATCGTTTTAATTTACATTTGATGTTGCTAATAGTAATATTATCTCGTACATCGGTGGGTAGTTCGTTAATAAATATATAAATGGCATATGTACTTTAATACATTTATTTATTTATTCATAATGTTACACAATACTTAATTTATTCTAATTTTAATTAGAATTTAAATTAGAAGAATTATGAATGCTGTTGGGCATAACCAGAAGAGAGGAGGATAAACATTTTCATGATCATATTGTCATCAAATATTTAATGCTTAAATATAAAAATGGGCGTTGGTACGCGTAAATTTAAAATATATAATATATGTTTGACATTATCGGATTCCGGCACCATTTGACCGATCACCATGGAAATAGGAAAGAAAATAAACAACCATTCAAATGTATGTCGGGGTTTTTAGTTGTTTATATTTTGATTATATTTTTTACGGTCTGATTTGTATGAAATAATAAATTTCGGTTAAACAGTTATTATAGTTGACATTAATTGATT